ACATCACAAATAACGATGTGACTATGTTTCACGTGAAGTCACAGGATATGCAAATTATCTCATTCATATGTCACATCTTCAAATTGGCTATGACTTTCGGTTTCAAATTTCGATTAAACTTTTGACAAAGAGCTAATTTTACTATTAATCTATAATAGAAAGTATTCATAAAGTTGTGACCAAAAAAAGTTCGATATTAACATTTTGAAGTGTCAAATACTTCGGAGGATGTTAATCTGCTCAGAAGTGAGAGCTCAGATTACAAAGGATTGTGCTTGAGAAAAAAAAAGGAATTTGATGCAGTTTTTATATTCTTTTTCTTCTTATAATCTATGGTACAGAATAGTTTTAGTTAATTTTAAATATTCTGTTATCAGAGACATAATAAGCGTCATCGACGCTGATAGGCAATGATAAATCAGTTGTTGATGAGGATGACAGTACTCAATATGTCATTTAAAGGTTTATGGATATACTTAGAAGAGTAATTTATGAATTGTCTTCGAAACGTTTTAGGAAAAGCCTTCCGAGGCAAGAAAAATCTCTTCACTGAATATATGAGCCGCTCAGCTGAGGGTCATTGACCGGTCATGTTTGGGGATTTGTGTATGAAATTTGGCAATCGTTAGTACATCTGCTCCAATCGTATCTTTTTGCTGTGAGCTAAATCCTAATAAAGCCTTAACATCATATTATCATTTATTCCAATCATGTATATACATGTATATATGTTATATTAATATCTACTGGAAGATATACATTAGATGAATTGTGAGAGAGAGAGAGAAAGGAAGAGACAAAACACGTGAGCTTCTACTTTGAGCTTTTTGTGATTTCTCATTCTGACTCCTCGATGCACACCTGTTTCTGAGAAATTAAATTTTCACATCTTCTTTCATACAACTATTGGATCTAAATGAATATCTATCTCTATAAAAATGAAAGTTTTGTTGAGAAAAAGCAATAGTGTTATCTTTAAATATTTACAAAATGTTATTGAGCCAACCCAAAGTACCATTCACATATAGAAACATTTTTCTCAAACAAATAGAAAAATTTTGTCTCAAAACGTCGAATGCGAATGATGCATTTTCGGACAACTTGATCAAATTTCTCTCAACGACATTCAGAATTTTCTTAGCATTCCTTATACAACAGCACACAAAACTTCTATAGTCTACAGCAGATCTGATTTTGTGCACTCGATTCTCTTTCATTTTGATGTTTTCGGGATCATAATATCTTCAGGACTAACAAAGTTATTGAAGATATTCGTATAGAAAATATATATATTTATATATCTATATAATATAATCCCCTTTTCATTCATATTATTAAATGAAATATGAAAAGCTTTTGTCTCTTTCAAACTTATTTTTTTTTTAGTTTAATATGAATGTCCCGAGATTTGGGGCACGTCAACATTCTCCTCCCCCCCCCCTCTGCCTTTCATTTTTCCCTTATCCTTCTTCATTTCTTGAGCTAATGTCTTGTTTTATTCTTTTTATTTGGCGAGCTTCCGATCTGTAAACTTTACAAATACAAATGAAAATATATTCTGAAAGTCTCAAAATTGGGCTCAACCATTCTGGTCAACCGGGTCAGATCCTCCTACTTTCTATCTTCTCATTCGTCTGATTGGCATATTTAAGCTCAGTAGTCATTACGATACAACAATCACCAAAGAGCTCTGATATACTCGTAAGCTTTCTAGTAATAGTTTTTTTTGTTGATATTCTCGTCAAATTTTTCCTCTGTTCATCTTTATCAGTAACATAGTCTGTACTGCCTTACGTGTTGCGCTACTCATTTCTCATTGAGCTGGTCATTTGCAGATCACCTCGTCATTGTTGTGTGAACAGGTCTCTTCGAACTCTGATCGGCTCATTTGAGGCTTTTTCTTGAACAAATGTGAACTTAAGCATTACAATTATAAGTTTGCTCTTCATTTCGCCTAATCCTTACTGGAAGTCAGTTCATTCTAATTCATTTGAGTGAGAGTTCATTCTAAGCTTATCATCGTGTAACGGAATGTTCTGCTTCTGCCTCCCATCTTCTCTATCTTTTCGGTTTGTCCTGTCCTAAAAGCAAAATAGTATAAATACTCTTTGAAGCTTCAATTCTTCCCATTCTCATGAGTTTCATAACCAAATTCCCTGCATAGAATATCTATATGAAGGCTTCATTTACTTTTGTTATTGACAACTTCAATTTGAGTTGCTGGACGTCCTTTCTTCCTTTAATTTTTCGAGTTCAAGCTAATTTGAGTACGTTCATTGATCTCCTATATGTTCATTTTCTTTCTTCTTTTTGTCTCTCTCCAGCTTCTTTTGCATTCTCAATTTGAATTTTCTTCGAATTCTTACTTTTTCAACTAATTTAGAAAGCCAATTTCCATGTTATAATTCTGTTTTGTGATCCGGAATATATATCTTGGAAGAAGTGAGAAAAAGCTTAATCCTTTATCTCTTTCTTTCTTTCTATGGTTAGTGCACTCGTTTTTTCTTGCATTGTTTTCTCATTATCCTGTTAAACTTAGCTATCTCTCTCTCACATTGATGTGTTTACTGCTGAACTCTTCTCTTTCAAGCTGAGAAAACATAAAACCAAAACGAAAAAAAAAATCATTGAGATCTTTGAAATATCCTGACTTGATTATGTTTCGTTCAGTGGAAGTCAATGAAATGGATTAGCGGCGTATAGGAAACCTGGCAATACTTTTTTCATTCAAAATGATAGAGAAGAAAAAAGAAATAAATTGACTAGACATTAATGATGTTGAAAAAGAAGAGAGTCTTATAACAAAAAAAATAAGAAGAATAGAGAAGAAACTGAAAGCGATATGTGAGACAAATCAAAGAGCACTAGTTGTGTCATTTGCTCTCACGAGGGAATCCCTGCACTTTCTCTTCTCTGTTCGTATCTTTTTCTTTTCACCTCGTAATAAGTACTCTCTATTTTTATTTTTCCTCCTTCCCACTCTCTTCTCCTCTGGATATCTACAACATCCGTCCTTCCTCTTTACTTGCTTCTTCTTCAGTCTTTTGAACCCCATAGTTCATGAGCAGTGAGAAGCGAGCTACACACATCCCATATATTAGTCTTCGGCCTGGCTCATCCTCACTTGATCAACTTCGACTGCATTATCAAACGAATCTCAGAACCTCGTAATCTTTCTTGTCTATTTTTTATTAATCAGCTTGGGTCTTGAGATGCTTTCAAGCTCAGTGGTTCTTCAATAAAAAAACTATACTCACCTTTTCTTGTTCGTAACAGAGAAAACCTTCTACCCCGTTTAAAAATGTCTTCTTGTCTACTTCGACGATGGCAAACATTAAAGTAACTGGGTGCCTCGAAAATGTTTCAAGGTTGCCCAAATTTCGAAGCAATCGATTCTCGTTATTGTCATTGACGGCATGATCATCATAGAACCTGATTCTCTCTTGAATTCACTCAGTATTTCCTTCCCATCGTTACCCATTTACCGATGTCTAACAACAATACACGTTGATGGTGATGGTGTTGGTGATGGTTGCAGAAGAAGCAGTCAACATACAAAAATTCTACAACTTTGTCTCCCAACAAGTGGAAAGGAGAAAGGGAAATGGCACAGCTAACCTCTGCATTCATTTCCGTTCTTCTTACGAGGCAACTGAAAATCTCTCACAGCCTCTAACAACCATTGTCTGTCTTGTTATTTTCTTTTTTCGCTTCGTATTCGCTCAGTCATTGAATTCACAATTTGCCTTTCCTCACTCATCGCGCTGGTCATGCCCGGTCATTCAGCCAACCGTCAACCGATCAATTTCAACGTCTAATATAGAATGTTTTGCTGCAAATCACCACTCGAGATATTCCCGCCTCCCGGATTTTTGCACTTTATTGTCCCGCCTTAAATTAGGATAATCAAGAGAAAAAACAACTTATCTTATGCATTTCAATTCCAAACTTCTTTTCATCCATGTTTAATAGTTTTACCTCTGGAATAATGGTTGTCTAAATTTTTCCACATTAAACTACCATAAGCAACCGCATTCACGTCCAAATGAAAGACGAATGGAGAAAATTTTTCACGTAATATTCACTTTTTTTGCACGCTTCCCATTATGTTGCTTCGAGTGTGGTTAATCGGAGAGAGCCTCTAGACTTTGGGGAAAGTAATCCTCATTCACAGCCATTTTTATGTTTTTCTCTTTTTTTTTCTATTTTCGTTCACGTAATTATAGTTCTTTTTGATACTCTATAGAATTTCGTTTATTCTCTGAGAGACTTATCATATCCGCTCATTTGAGTTGATTGAAGCTTAGCACTCGTTTATATTGATCGCCAAGAGATTTATTAACTTCAAAGGCAATCACACACACACATTCGCTACTGCCTGTTTCTAGCCGTCAAGTCATCTATTGTGTCAGAAAAAAAAAAGTTCAAGGAGTTACTATTGGAACGGCTTGAGCGAAAGTTTTATGTCTTAGCTCCAAGTTTCAATTCGCTTCTGACAGCTTGCTACAATTGGAGAAAAAGCTTCGCTAAGAACTTTCTACTTCTCCCCTCATCTGTTCACGCTGTCACATTACGAGATAAGTAACGCTATTTACATCAACATCCTAATAAGCTTGACTTGCTTGAAAATGTTTTCTCTTTCCTGAGTTTTAACTTAGCTAAGATCCTATCATCAATGGTTCTATGTTTTCTCCTAATTTCCAATCCAGTTTCGTCAAGAGTAGCATATTCCTGAGAAAAACGTTATCACTTTGCATAGGAAACCATCTCGAATTCTGAAATAGAAGCCATGAAAGGATTCTATCAATAAATCCTGCTTTTTCTCGTTCTCTTCATGAGTTTAAGAGTATAGTAGCTATTGAGAAAAAGCAGGCCGTACCTTTAATTTCAAATGATGAGATGTGCATGACGGAAATATAATGGTTTTCTTCTTTTTTCTTTTTTTTCCTTGAGTTATTGCTGCTGTTGGAGTTTATTGATTATAGATTTTGATTTTTCAGATGCCTAAACAAGATTTCGAACCCTTAGACTATTTTGGAGTAGTTGCCGTTGCTGTAATTTTCGGAATCATCACTTTTATTCTTTCATTCTTCATCATCAACTTCTTCTGTATCACTAAGTATGACGATATAACTCACTTCGAAAAGGTTGGTTCGCATCTGTTATTTTAATAAAAAACGATTTTTTCTGTCTCACGAGTTGTTTGCCTTTGTTTATGCATAGTTTGAACTCTCACAACAATCAGAAGATCCAATTATGATCTTTAATTTCCTGAATTCTTTTCTATTTTTAACTCTGCATCTATCTTATATATATTATTTTTCAGTTTGGCGCCAAGCGCAATATCAGGCTTGGACCTCACGATATCCGTACAATTAAAGTCCGCGGTGGTTTAATCCACGAGATGGAGGAAAACGAATAAAATTATCGAGTGTAGCAGCTTATTCCAAATTAATGAGTTTCTATGATGTGAGCTGTTGTCCTTATTGAGAAATATAGGCATCATCATTTCCTTCTCCTATTCATAATTTTGCGGAAAACATTCATTCCGTTTGCGTAGTAGCGATCATTCACTTATCATTATAATTTGTGTATTCATCTGATTTTCTAACAAATATTGTAATAATCTTTCTATACACAAGCAATAATAAAACTAAACAATATACAGGAATATCTAAAGATATTGCAAATGGAAGAGAAGGGTTGTAAATACTTTCACCTAACAATAAAATGCTAAGAAATGCTTCATGCAAAGAAGAGATGTGGTATTAGTAGGAGTCAATCTTAATAAATTAGTTAATGTTAGTCCAATACCCTATCGCTTATTCTCAGATTTGAGAAAATTACAAACTACTTTTTATGGTAGTGACTGTCTCGTGGATAGCCTTGGCTACATATTCGACGTTCCTCGTGTTGAGTCCACACAGGTTGATACGTCCATCCTTCAGAAGGAAGACTTTGTGTTTTGTAACCAAATGGTCAACTTGCTCAGCTGGAGAATTCATTATCAACTCATTAAACATCTGCACCGGAACATACCAGATAATCCAGTGTAACTGAATAAACCGATTTGTTTGGTTATGTGATCCCAACAGCCTGGAGTGTGCAGCTTCTCCAAATGATCGCGCAGAGATGTACGCATGAGTTTGACACGATCAGCCATTGTCTTGACATTTTTGTACCAATCTTCGCGAAGACTGGGAGTAGTCAAGATTGTGTGTACAATTCTGGCACCGTAAGCTGGAGGGTTAGACCTAATTATAACATCACATATTGAAATTATTTAAAATTCAAACCAGTTTGCTCGGATGACCAACGAAATCTGAGACTTGATTCCAGCCAAAACAGCTGGATCATTGACAACAATAGTTAAATTTCCGATGCGTTCATCTGAGAAATTTCCCAATTACAGAGAATCAAACGATTTTTCACGAACTGTACAATCCGAAGTTCTTAGCGAATGATTGAGCGACAACCATTTCCAGTCCTTGCTCAACAAAATAACGAATGGACCAAGCATCAGCGTCTGGGTCTCCGGATGCGAATCCTTGATAAGCGATGTCGAAGAAAGTGAAGAGATTTTTTCTCTGAAAAGAGGCAATGAAAGTGATTTCTTGATTTGCTAGACGAAACCTTGATAACTTCGGCAATACGCTTCCATTCTTCTTGCGTAGGATCCATTCCAGTAGGATTATGGGCACATCCGTGGAGGACAATAATAGATCTGAATAGTTTTATGAGATACATTATTCTAAAAAAAAATGTAAAATCACTTTGTTGGAGCCTGTTCCAGATCAGCAATAAATTGCTCAATGTCAACCTTTCTGTTTGCAGCATCCCAATACTTGTATGAACGAACATCACTGATTCCAGCGCTGTTGAAAACCATTTTGTGATTTCCCCTACATAATTTTTTATTCCGGATGATTAGATGAACTCCACAAACCAGGTTGGGTTACTGGTATAGGCTGTCTGAAGCCCGACAACTTTAGCAAGGAATTCAGCTCCCGCTCTGAGCGATCCAGTTCCCGATAAACATTGAACTCCGGTTACCTGGAATAGTGAATGTTTCGCAAAAACAAACAATGTAAACTAACTCTTCCTTCCTTAATAGCTGGAGAATCAGATCCCAAGAGAAACTCTGATGCAGCCTTGGTGAAAGGCTCATACCCCAAGACCGGTAAATACTCATGATTGAGTGAATCGTTACCGGCGATAGCTTTCTCGGCTACTCTCACAACAGGGAGAACCCAAGGCGTACCTTCTTCAGTACGATAAGCTTAAACGGTAGAGTTCAAAACTGCAAAAAAAATGTATAACCTCCGATGGTCAGGTTAACTTTGTTAGGATCAGTTTCATCCAGGTACAACTTGTTCATGTAGAAAACCTCAATAGGAGGGGCAACAGAGACTTGGGAGAAAAGCGACATCTTGGAAAGGTAAAAGGCCTGAAAATTAAATTTTCAACGAAGAAGGAATAAAAATAGAAGAATTATAAAATTTGAGTTTATCAACAGTTCTAAAATGAGATAAGGGTAATCGATTCGTATTCAAAGCATACAATCTGCATACACAACAAACTAGTTGAAATGAACTTTAGATTAGAAGATAATGTGGTCACCCGATTCACAAGAAACTTGTGGATCGGAAAACCAATTTAGATGATGACCAACATCAGCTTAAGATGAAAATCTTGAGAATTATGTAGTAGAAGAAAACTCAACGAAGCGTAATGAGATGCAGGGCATCTAAGCGCGCAATCGAATTAGGCGGACGATCCGCCTGGAAACCGGACCGACCCGGTTAAGAGGGAACGTGGAAATCGGTGGAAACTATGTAATAAACATTTTGGCATTCTGATAACTTTCATCTGCAAACATGGGCATCATCAGCGAGCAAATAAAACAGTTTTAGATCAATATTCAGTGTTGTGTCGACCGAAGAGGGACGGACGCTCTAATCCTCGCATATTTCCGAAACAAAATGCAGGTGTATGACGATTGATTCAACTCTTTGTTACAACAAAACGAACAAAGAGTAGTCCAGAAAAAAGGTTTGTCATTTACAAGCAATTTGCTCATATAATTTGTTGTAGGGAGCTTAGAATGGATCCAGAGAAGGAATACAATGAGTTCGGTGAGCAACTCAAATCACTCAATCGACAGAAAAGTCGGAGTCAACCTAGTGGTTTAGACAGAGTGAAGAGCTTGACTAGGAAACTATCAGCGAAAACGAGGTAAAACCTATACTTTTGAAGAAATCCCATCAAAATGTTGGCATTGACCCTCTCGTATTCTCATTTTGAAACCGCCTTGAAATTCTTCGATCAAAATATCTAATGTAAAGGGAAATAGGATCATAAAACTAAAGATAGGGCGTAAAAAACAAAAAATGGCACACACTGGAGTTCGCTGAGAGTAAATCCCAGAGTGATGGAAGTACGCGACGCAAGTAAGCAAGCATGAGGGCCTCCGGGAGGAACAGCCGGTGTTTAAGAATCAAGCAAAACTCAGAACTTAAATAGAGTCGCATCCACGACACCGAATGTTTCTCATAAAGGAAGATCTACGCCCATTGATGAAGAAAAAGTTTTTTTTCTCACTTAGATTAGATTCGATATGAGTGAAATTCCCCAAAGCTAAGAATAATATTGAAAATTTTCCACAATATTGAAAAAGGCGCCCCAGCGCTAATTTGAACGTGCCTCTCTGAACAACGATTGAAGAGAGACCATGTGTTTGTGAGAGAAACACGAGAAATAGAGCACATCGTGATCAAAACATTTTCTTACTTTCTCGCGGCTCGTGAGCGGGCAATATAACATTTGAGAAATCAGACTACGTATCTGTATACAGAGGTAAATTAATAGTAATTTGTAATGCAAATTGTTATCTCGATTATGTTCGTTAACTTAAAGAAGCTCCTTACCATTATAACATTGTAATTTTTCTTCTTTTGTTCAGGAAAGAACGAAATCGTGATCGTGCTATTGAGCGCGAGAATCAGCTTATCATGAGTACTCCATCTCAGGATCTTTCTAAGCTTCCGGAAATTAAGCCTCAAATAAAGATTGGGCACTATATACTGAAAGATACTCTTGGAGTCGGTACATTTGGAAAAGTTAAAGGTTTGCTGTTTTTTCTTCCTTTTTGTTCATCACTTGTTTCAGTTGGAATCCATGAAGCCACTGGGTATAAAGTAGCTGTTAAGATTCTAAATAGACAGAAGATCAAAACGTTAGATGTTGTTGGGAAAATTCGTCGAGAAATCCAAAATCTTTCACTTTTCCGTCATCCACACATTATTCGCTTGTAAGTAGACGTATCATTAGTTTTCATCGGCTTTTTTTAACTTCGTTACAGATATCAAGTTATCAGCACACCAACTGATATTTTCATGATTATGGAATATGTATCTGGTGGCGAACTGTTCGACTACATCGTCAAACATGGACGAGTGAGTTTTCTTAAAACGCAATGTTTACTCACTTTTTGTTGCATTTGCATTTTAACGCTGGAAGTTACTGTTCACTAAGTTTTACTATTTAAGCTGAAAACTCCTGAAGCTCGCCGGTTCTTCCAACAAATTATCTCCGGTGTAGATTATTGTCATAGACACATGGTCGTTCACAGGTTTTTTCGTTCATGTTTCCTGATATTGAAGTTTCGATTTAAGAGATCTGAAACCCGAAAACCTATTGCTCGATGAACATTGCAATGTAAAAATTGCTGATTTTGGTATGTCACAGTTGTTTTGCTCAAGTTTACAGTTTGTTAAGGTTTGTCTAATATAATGACTGATGGCGACTTTCTGAGAACAAGTTGTGGTTCTCCTAACTATGCTGCTCCTGAAGTTATCAGCGGAAAGTGAGTGATGCAAGAGCATAAGTTTTCCTTACGTTTTGTTATCCAGGCTTTATGCTGGTCCTGAAGTTGATGTTTGGTCTTGTGGTGTAATTTTATATGCTCTTCTATGTGGCACACTTCCATTCGATGATGAACATGTTCCAAGTTTGTTCCGCAAAATTAAATGTGAGTTAGCTTTGAGTTCGAAAAACAAATGAGGATTATTCAGCCGGTGTTTTCCCTATTCCTGAATACTTGGATAAATCTCTCGTTACACTTCTACTTCATATGCTTCAAGTTGATCCTATGAAACGTGCCACTATCAAGGACGTCATGTAAGCTCCTTAAGTAATATAACTTGCATTTACCTTGTTTCAGTGCTCATGAATGGTTCCAAAAAGATCTTCCAGCTTATTTATTCCCTCCTGTTAATGAGTCAGAAGCTTCAATTGTTGATATTGAGGCTGTCCGTGAAGTTACTGAGGTATATTCACTCTATTTATGGGAATTCTATATGGTTATCTAGAGATACAATGTGCCCGAAGAGGAAGTCACAGCTGCATTACTTGGTGACGATCCCCACCATCATCTCTCAATTGCTTATAATTTAATTGTGGATAACAAGAGGATTGCCGATGAAAGTATGACTTAGTAAACTTATCGTTTTTGATGGTATATTTCTTGTCAGCTGCCAAACTCTCTATCGAGGAGTTCTATCACGTTACTCCCAATAAACTGCATCAAGCTGATTTGGGTCATCGGCACCCTGAAAGAATTCCTGCCCTAGTACAGGGCAAAGTATCGTCTACTCTTGATTCTGAAAGTGGTCCATTCAGTCAACATCAACAACCCGCTTCAGCACCTCAAGTTCGCTATTTTGAAAAGTTTAACTAAACTTTATTTCAGATCTCTGCTTCAGCTGCTCCTAGTAATACAGCCAATCAAAGAGCTGGGGTTAAACGGGCTAAATGGCATTTGGGCATTCGTTCACAGAGCAGACCCGGTAAAGCTTACATCTGTTTTGTTTTTCCAATTTTTACATGTTCAGAAGATATTATGTACGAAGTATTCCGTGCTATGAAGAGTTTAGATATGGAATGGAAAGTATTGAACCCTTACCACGTGATAGTACGAAGAAAGCCAGATGTCCCTACATCGGATCCCGTATGCTTCCTCAATTTTCAATTTTCTTTTATTTGTTGTTTATAGCCCAAAATGTCACTTCAGCTGTATCAAGTTGACCAACGCAGTTTCTTGCTTGATTTTAAGAGTTTGATCGATGATGAGAACACACGTGAGTACATTCCCCGTTTGAATAGAGGGAAAGCCAAGTTGTTTCAGCTGGAAGTGCTTGTTCTTCTCGTCATCCATCTATGTCTATGCCAGCCAAACCTCCAGGAATGAGGGGTAATCGTGCTCAAAGTATGCCTCAAACAATGGAGGTCAGTGAATAGCATGCAGACCCCTTAAGGCAATATGAAATTTAGGAAGAACCCCCGAAATTGCAGGTTGATGCTTCACCTCCACCTTCGCCATCAGGTGCGAAACTCTCCCAGACGATGCAATTCTTTGAAATGTGTGCATCTCTGATTGGCACTCTTGCTCGATGATCGCATAAGTCCTAGATATCTACGGGGAACATGAAAAAATGAAAAAAGCTGCTGTAGTCGTTTTTTGTTGAAAATATGTCAAATTGCTTGGACGAGATCCCGCACAGTCGTGAATGTCTCAGTGATGTTTTTGTTTTATATTTTTTTTATGAAGTTTATACTAATGTGATGTAGAGAGTTAATTTAGTTTGAAATAATAGTTTGATAATCACGTTGTTATTCCTGTATATAGATTTCTGGCTAATGCGATGTTACACTTTGTAGATAAATTTTTTATGCAAACTCCGTTGCTACGTTTGCGTTGCTGGTTTTGCGCATGAATATCGCATCTTCTTACATTTGCCAACTTCTTAGAGAAATATTTACAAGTCACAGCTGTGAATGTCAGGAAAAGTTTGTGTGAAATGTCCCGAGGCAGCTGTTTTAGCAGGTTTTCGCTCTATTCCTTTTATGGTTTTTAATGTTTCGGAGTTTCGTTTTCAGGCGTAGATGTGAAGAAGGCTGTTTATTGTAAGAACTGTTTCATTCAAATGGTGATACATAAATTCCGCTCATCAATCAGTAAGAAAAGAATTTTCAAGGTGATTAATTCCTAATTTTTCTCATCAAAAAAGCCTTTTATGTTCGTTTGTGATTGTACTCCTTTTTCCGGATGGCGAATCACATGAGGCAATAATTGTTTTTGATGGGACTAGCTCAGGTGTTTTCCTCCTTCGACAAGTCAAAGAGTCCATGGAGATGTCAGAGTATAAAAAGTTGATGATCAAACCCACGGTAATAGAGCATGCTTGTCATGTGCATCACACATTAATACACAAACACTCATTTGTTTTTAGATTTTAGTTTTAGTTTCTGCCACTGAGAATGCAGAAATTGAGAAGGTCGAAGCAAAAATCAGAGAACTCAGGTTGATATTGTCGGACGTGCCTTGGTTTATTGTGCATGTGGCTTCGGCGCTGGCAAAACAAAATTTCGTAAGAAGCGAAAAGTGCCAAGGAGTACAAGAGGTTCTTTTGTTCCTCCGCTGTTCGACGATGAATCTATGAATTTTAGATTAATGCACTTGATTTGCTCTTGAAGTCGTGTCAAACGCAAACTTCTAGAGCTGAAGTTAAACGAATATTGATAGAGAAGACTTGTATACAAGTGAGCAAAGCATTGGGTATATCCAAGGTTTTCTTTTTCCACTTCGAATCAGCTTAACATGAAGCCTTTGGCAGATACTCGTGCCTGAGAACGGGGATTATCTGGGACGATTGGCGTTAACACAGCTTTGTTTAGGACGAGGTACTTTCTAACTATTCGCTCCCCCCCTATGCCTCATTCCCATGCGAGATAATTCTATTTTTTAGGTCCGGCCGTTTCGGAACTAACAGCTGTAGTGGATAAAAGAGCAAACAAAGTGTGGTTTGTGAGACCCTTACGGGATATAAATAAGAAAGAAATAGCGCTAGTGAATCACTTGAAAGGTTATGAGCAAGATGTTATAGTTTTGCAAAGAGTACGTTTCAATACTTTTCATTAATATAATTCAGTAGACTTCATAAATAGAAAATTTCCCTTTTCAGGACAAGCCTGCCGTGACGGAGCGTTCGATTCAATCAGCAACTACGCTGCTCGTGGACAACTTGTTAGCACAGGGCTATAAGGTAAACCAGTTTAAGCCTTTTTTGTTAGTATAAACGATTTTTTATATCACTTTCCATTCAGTCAACAATAACAACCGTCTTGAGTACTGCTGGGAAACTACATATGCTGACATCAGCCCAATATTGCTCATTATGCACCCTAAGCGGTGTAGATATAGGTTCTAACTTTTGTAAAAGTTGTTTGGATTTGAAAAAAGAGCTGTCTGAACCTCAACTCTTAGATCCGTTGTTATTCTAATTGTTTGTATATTCGTTTTTGTTGAAAATGAACAGTTCTATTTCTTCGTTTGGAATATGATATAATCAATAAAAGGAGTAAAGGGAGGGTTCCCGCCTGCTCAGCGCATGTGGTCATTTCAATTTGCCGGAAGAGCAGTTCAAAACAGGAATTGTCGCGATCTGTTTTGGAAAACCAAATTCCTCATATTGCATCAGCTTTCATCAATCTCATATGGCCAAAGGACTTAGTTTAGCAAAAGTGGGCGGGGCGGTCTCTTTCATTTCGACTCACCACCACCTCAACACTAGTCATTCATTCTTCTAAAAATATGCCTAAAATCACTCAATGCATTCCATTCCGTTCGTAAATATTTTTTCCTTTCTCATCGCAGTATTTTGATTAGAATCGAGAGATGCCAGTTCTCAAATTTATCTTTTGTATATACAGTTTTACAATTAATGCCGTGCTCTTTCGGTGCACCTGCTGTTTACCTAGCGGTGCGAGCCAGATGCATAGCCTATGCAAATTTTGTGTTGCCAGCCGCTATCTTCATTTTATCTAATCAAAGCGCAACAAGCGGTTGCTCGATTTTTTCTCTTACTCATTCTCCGACCTCGTCCTGTTTGCGTAATTGTTCTCTTTATGTCCTGAGCCCATCCTATTACTGGGCTCGGATCATCAGCTGATGACTCTCTCTCTAGCTCCTGACCTAACGCCCTCACAGCAGCAGCTGTCCAGTCTTGTTTTTGTCTGAATAATCATTCATTTCTTCAGAAGTAAGAATAGTAGTATAAAGCTTTGTCTATATATCTAAATAGTAGTTCGATTTGCTATTCGACCTAGTACTTTCTGTTATAGTCGTTCGAACAATATTTGTTATCTGGATATATGTCGTTATATCGTGCCTCCTACTTTTATTTCCTCTTTCATCGTTTGTATTTTTGTTTATCTTTTGTAACCGATAGTAGCTTCATTTTCACACATTGACGTCGTTGAAATAACACTAGTTTTAGCTATGTAATATGTACTTACTGCTCCTATTTTTCCTATCATAAAACTGTTAACTTGATTCTCGCTACCTGTCTTCTCTTATCGCGAACGTTTACGATTTTCTAACAACTGATATCAAATCATTATCACATTGTTCGATAGAAACATGCTGGGCGTCGGAAATACCTGCACGTTTTTACAGTAACTTCCTAACTTTGTCCTCTTTATGATTTTTTTCTGAGATAATGTGCCGATGGCCAAACGAGTGATTGATGCTTCTGAGGAATCTAACCTTGGAACAGTAATTAATCATTAATAGCGAAAGCGAGATCTCCTTCTCGGCATCAAATCTGAAAAGTCGGCGATTTATGTTTCATAAGAATTACTTTTTATTTTACCGCTTTCTGCAACATCGTTCGTTTTGTCATTGAAATGAGTGTGCCTCCTGTCGCTGCGACTGATGTTGTTTTATTTTATATTTTGTGATCAGGATCATAATCATCATTTTCCTCGATGTCGTCGTTGTTGTCGTTCTCTCTGTGGTAATCGTGGTTGGATTGACAAACTATGTCGTGTCATTTATCAACTACTTCTTAACTTCAAACTCCTAAAGATCAGAGGCCTGTAGCCTATTGCTGTGTTTTTTCCATTTCGGCAAGTCGCATATAGAATGTAGCATATTCCCCCTCCCCCTTCACTCTCACCTCCATTTTATAGTAGGCAATCTATCAATTCTAATTTCAATCGTAATAACTTTATGGCTGCAGTTTTTTTATCCTGGAACTGCAATGTGAATGCATAGCTGGCAATTCTTAGTTTTCAATTGTGTCTCGTACACGACGATCATATCACCTTATCAGCTGGAAAGTTCCCACTTGTAATCTATCATTTTCACTGCCTTCTAGGTTCATGATTCATATCAGCCTTGTAACATTAATTCTTCACACTTAGCTTCGATTGTTTTGATTTCACCTACTTTTGCGTCCGTTCTCTTTATGTTCTTTTGTCGTGTTGTTCACGTTTTTGATTAATTAATTAAGGATGACTGGCGCTCCAGCTGGTAGGAATGAAGGAAAGCTGGTCCCTCTACCTCCTGATGGAGGTTGGGGTTGGGTTGTTGTCCTTGGATCGTTTTTTATCCATGTTTTTGCTGATGGATTTGTCTATGCTTTTGGAGTTCTCGTAGAGGAGTTGATGAAGGTAAGCAGATGTCTTTAAACGTTTGTCCGATCGTTCTATGAGATTAACATGAACCCAGCTAGTCTTTAATCCTTCTCTCTTGACCCACCTCATGATTTCAGGAGTTCGATTCAGATAACACAATGTGCGCTTTAATTATTTCGCTTCTTACGGGGTTAACGTTGGGTACAGGCCCCATCGCTTCTGCTATTTGTAATAAGTATGGTTGTCGAACAACTACCATAGTTGGTGCAGGAGTAGCTTTTGTTGGGTTTGTATACACATTAGCAGTTTTCGAGGAAATGTTTCTACTTCAGATGTTCTCTGTCATACTTCGCCACGGAAATGTGGCATATTATCATTACGGTTGGAATTATTATGGGTTTCGGATTTGGTCTTATGTACTGTCCTGCTATCGTTATCGTCACCATGTACTTCGAAAAGTACTGCTTTGCATAGTTGAAATCCTCTTAAAACTCCTGGATTAAGATATCGTTCGTTAGCCACGGGAATAGCTGTAGCTGGAGCTGGTGTCGGAACTGTAGCGTTTTCACCTATCAATGCCTTCATCATGGCTAATTACGGATGGAGATCCGTTTTCTTGGCATTTTTAGGTACACAGTCCTCCTATTTTTTTCTGTAGTCAGTCGGTTATTTCAGTTGTTCTCATTTTATGCGCTCTATGCGGAGCCACCTTCCGTCCATTGAAATTCCAAGAAGTTATTAGCGTAGAAGAAGATGTTGAACTTGACAGCGTAACTAAAACGAAAGAAATTGAAGGTGCCGCTGTTGAGGTGAGTTCTTAAGTAATACGGAGGACTGATTAATCACATTGACCTTAGGAAAATGCTGCACTTTTGGTTCCTCCGAAAAACAGAACTAGAACTAGCTCTCGATCAAGCGCTGGAAACAGCATTCATGGAGGAAAGTCCCTCAGAGATGTTAATTCTGATACTGAGCAAGGCGGTATATTTATTGGTGGAAAAGAATTAAAAGTATATGTTTGTATTCAGATGATCATCATCTTCGCCCACGATCTCGAACTGGAACAGTTTCTGAATTAGAAGGGGGTTATTTGAACAGAAAAGATGTTTTCTTTACTGGATCCATCACCAATGTAGCTGAATTCAAAGAAGATCCCGACAAATATAGGTTTGATAAGCCGCAAAGCGACATTTAACTCGAATTATATCTGAAGATCTACTGGTTCTCTGCACAAGAGAAAAGAGCATACTCTCTCTTCGGCAAAGTTGGACCAAGTTCGTGAAGCTAGTGAAGACACTGAAACTACTGACAACACTTATGGAAGAAATATGTTTAAGTAGGAAACTTCCTACGGTTCCAATTCTAACTCTTCTTTCCACAGGACCATTTCAAAGATGCTTTCTCTTTCGTTGTTGTTGGAGCCAACATTCCTTCTTTTCGCCGTATCAAATCTCTTAACATCCGTAGGATTCAACTCTCCTCTTTATTTCCTTCCTCTACATGCCTCAAAGGGACTTAATCTCACTGCCGTTGAGACACCAAGAGTTTTGAGTGCTTTCGGTTTGTTGGATACGAGTTTTTTCACTCTCTCAAACTTTATTATTATAGGTGCTGCCAATACACTTGGACGTGTTGTGTTCGGAAGTGTTGCTGATCACAGAATCCCTCTGCCCAATGGATGGGGAGATGATACTGCCCGCAATAGACTTTGGATGTACAACATTTCTCTAGCTGTGAGTTTTATGAAATAGCCATATATCAAGTATCTCTTTATTTTCAGATTTGTGGACTTGTCACTCTATTCTCTTTCGTTTTCGACTCTTTCCTAAAATTGACCACATATGCAGCAATTTTTGGATTTACCATCGCTTCATACATCTGTTTGACTAGTGTCATCCTTGTCGACTTGTTGGGACTGGAAAAACTGACAAATGCCTTTGGTTTATTACTTTTATGGCAAGGAATTGGTACAGTATTTGGTCCACCAGTTGCTGGTTTCTTGGCCGATTGGCAAGGAAGTTACAACTATTCTTTCGCTTTCTGTGGTGTTAACCTTCTTGTGAGTTTTCAATCATTACATAGTTCAATGAAGAGAATATTTCAGATTTCCGGTTTAATGCTATTCGCCATTCCATATTTTAAGAAAAAGTAGATAGCTGTGCAGAAGACACAGCTACTGTATGTTTTTGTTAAATCCGAATCCACAAAGAGATACGGGGATCTTGTTATAGGCCAAAAGTGTTTTATATAGAGTTGATCAAGTTAATAATTGAGTTGAATGATTAATAATAAATCTCTATTTCTTTAACGAACTGAATATTTATTTTAACACGAAGACAGATCAAGAAAGAATTAGAGCTGAACTGATGTGATCAGTTACTTAAGTTCGCTATTATAAAAACAGATAAAACTTTAATTGTTCTAGTATCATAGATACTAAGAAGTTCAACGATCGTTAGTAGCAAACTTTGTGCTCAACAAAAAATTAGACTCCATGTGATAATGGGATACACTCTCTCATGTTAAAAAATTAATCCAATCGATATCTAGTGCAACTGTGTTAGGTAACTTTATTCATGAATGGTAATGAGTTCCATTTATGTTTATGAACATACATCTTTCGGTAGAGAAAAAAAGAATCCATTTCTGCAGTTGTCGCGCTCCAATCGATAGTAGCGCCTATTGCTTGTGTATGTGCGCTCTGAGTGTCGTGTGATGTGGCTTAACCATATTCATTTTTTGAAGTTATTATTAAGAAGAGGATGTTTTTTTTTGCTGTTTCTGTTATGTTCCATTATAATCTTTCAGCTCCTTTATTATTGAAGTTTATTGAATTGTTTTAGGTTTTCTCACCTCTTTTAAAAGATGACTTCCATACGTATGCATCAAAGAGATGATGCTGAGGTAAGAGTATTTTTAGAAGAAAACTAAGTTTGTTTATAGGTTGGATTACTAGAAAGTGATAGAGAAGATGAAGATGACGTCAGGTATTTTGCCTCACCTAATCTTAAAATATTAAATCGAAACTTTCAGAACTCAACCAAACAATCTTTGGCCTCGTGATATGATTGGTAGAAACCTTAACGCTAAAATGGGCACAGTAGCTAGCGAAAAAGTTTCCATTCGCTTAGGTCGGATTCGGTTTTGCCCAGCTATGAGGAATTTGTATTTTAGGCTTTCTCAGAAAAGTATTCGGTATTTTGTCATTCCAAATCGTCCTAACTACCGCTATTTGCGCTGCACTTTATGCAACACCAGGAGTACAGGATTTCGTGAAAACACAGTGAGTGATTTTCAAACAGTTTATTTATGCCTGACTAAACTGATTCGATCGGAATTGTCCCTCTGTGAGCTTTTCTCAGCATCTGGATGGTTACTGATGCGTAACATCTGAGAAGTAATGTTCAAAAATACTCGAGCCTTTATCTTTTTACCTGCATTTCTTCTAATCGGGGAAACGGTTCTGACAGCAAGTAGTCTTCTACAATAGTAGCAAATTGGTCAGCTGATAAATGCCCGTTGGCTGATACATCTAATTCGCGAAACACTTTTTCGGCTAGTTCATCGTTAAAATCTCCAAACTCTTTGGCCACATACTTGATCAAAAGCTTATTAGCAGAAATATGATTTCATTCTTACTTTAAATTCATTTTCTGTGATGATCCCATTTCGGTCTTGATCAAAAATCTCGAAGCATTCCTTTATCAGCTCTTCATTGGTGGATTTCACTATGCTCTGAGATTTTTTCATGCAAGCACAGAACTCTTCAAAATCTATTTCTCCATTACCGTCTGCATCAACCTTAATGGAAAGTAGTTATAGCCTTTATCATTGAAGGTTTAAAGTCAGAGATAACTTCATGATGCGAGAAGTGTTAATACCACATGTAAACTGATATTGTAGCGTATTACCTCGCGTATAACATTGTCGATTTCTGACTCATTGGCGTGCATACCAATACTTAACATTGCTTGTTTCAATTCTTCATTTCCTTAAATGAAGATACAGAGACCAATTGTCATATTGGAAAGTACTAGTGTATACATACCAATAGCTCCTGAACCATCTGTATCAAACATATTAAACAATTGACGGTACTCCTTGAGTTCCTTCCTGAAAAGAACTATCTCCTCTTTCTCTTTCTACTATTACCTTGTATAGATTTCTTTATCTTCATTGCTTCTTGCGGAATGTAAAGTTCCTTTGGATGATGTTGATGATTTTCTCCCGGATGCTACCGGTTTCTCTTTTTTTTCTATTTGACGAGCGACTCCAACCTTCGCTGATTTCATTCAGAATAATCTAAAAGGGAAAATAATAATTTTTATCAAGTTTTGCTGGATATTTAATGAAAGTATTAAACGTAAGTGCGCAGCTTAAGTAGAGCTTTAACGCTTAATAGGAGTGAGCTCCTGACATAAATAGATAAGTCGAAATTCTGATAAGAAAGTAAAGGTCAGACTTCCCGTGTAGTATTGAGTGCTGAAATGCCCACCAACGGGGGAGACTACCTTTTCTGACAAACTTGAAAGCTAGTAGAGAAAGGAAGAGATGAGTCTATATTCGCGTGACTTCCGACTAAATATATTAAGAGATATAAAACTAAGAAGATAAATGTGTATTGCCCATAACACATGAAGAGAATAAATTGGTTCTTTTCGCATTATTGCTCTAGGCACCTAGTTATGCTTCACAGAAATGGTTTGAGTGCTCCTATTCTCAAAGCTGTGTTCATCATTTAAAAGATGTTTTTTTCAATTGGCCTCTTTTTGCCTCACATAAATTAATAGAAAAAAAGGCAAAAATAATCGTTGAAATCTAAAAGATAAGATTTAAGTGAAGAAGTAGAGGAGCTGGTCATCATCTATTCGTAGAAATGTGTGTATATAGCCAGGAGAAACACGATTAAATTACGGCAGATGTTACTAATTTGTTAGGAAGGAAGGAAATAAGCAGTTCTGTTAGGACCTGGTGAAGAGACCATTGATCTGACAAAATGGGATTAAGAGCAGGCTTATAGAGGTCCTTTGACAATTCACGTACAAATTTCATCTTTCCTTTGGAATGCAGGTTTAAATTTATTGTTTTAATTAGTGTAAGACTTGGTCATTTGCTATAACTGCAAAATATCGAGATTAGTTACGGAAGTTGATAGGCTCAGACCAGAAATGACTATTTGCTCGAACTATTAGTCCGAAAAGCAAAGTCTAGAACATAAACAATAATGCAGAAATCAGTGCACAGATTTACAAAACTGTTGCATCTAATGCCATTTATAATAGAGGGAAGGAAATTGTTCGAATAATTGATAATTATACAGTTGCGCGAAAACTGAAATCGCCTACATCTCGGGATGAATGGGAATCATGATGACAATGAGTTGAATGAAGTTAGGAAAAAAGCTTTCGTAAAAATGCTGAGATTCACTTAGCTTTTCCATTCGGCTTCCTCCTTCTTAAACCCATAACAACATTATAAAATTTTTAATTGTCTGATCATAGATAGGACACATACGCACAAGAAGCATTCTATATGGGATTCGCGTGCTAAGACCCCATCTGCACAATTTATTATGAACATATATACTTTCCGACTCTGTCTTTTGAGCACTGAATATTGGGATGATAACGAACCGGTTAAACAGTTTAATAATTTCAGATCTTGGGTAGTCTTCCCTACGTTGTTCGCTTCTATTGGATTACTCATCGCTCTCCATTTCCATGCACATAATGTACCAACTAATTATATACTTCTCGCATCTTTCACCACAGTTCAAGCTCTCACTCTTGGCTGTGTCGGTAAGAATAGTGTTTTAAATTGCGCCATCGAATCTCATGTAATTCCAGTCAGCCTGTTTGAGCTGAAAGTTATCATTGAAGCTGTACTGCTAACTGCTGTAATAGTTTTCTCCCTATTCATCTACACTCTCCAATCAAAGAGAGACTTTGTTAAGCATTATGCATTAGGCTTCAGCTTGATTGGAATTCTAATGATGGCAAGCATCATGCAGGTCTGTCGTTGATTAATAATTGAAACATTAATGAATTAATAATGCAGGTTTTCTTCATGTCCTCAGCTTTCAACTTCACCATCAACGTGATTGGAGCAGCTATTTTCTGCTTCCTCCTGGTGATCGATTTGGATATGATTATGAATCATCTGTCTCCCGAAGATTATATACTTGCTTGTATTACTCTATATATGGATGTAATTAATCTCTTCATCAGAATTTTGCAAATTCTCAATGAAGCACAACGTTGATTGGCTCTCTTTCTAACTTAACTATAAGAATTCGTTACAAATCCGTTTTTTAATCACTTTTTTTCATATAGCTTGTAAATATGAACGATGTCTAATATGTAAATAGAAGGGTTTAGTGTCTGCATACATGTGTTGAAGATTCTAATGACAGATAAATATAGTTATTTTGATGTTCATTAAACATAACTCAATTTTGGACATGTTCGCAATTTCGTTTGGCTCACCACTTGAGTTACATTGAACTTTCAGCGTTCATCTTGGCAGCTCTAATCTTCCGAATCTGAGAATCATCAGCATCAGCTGCTTGGTCAAAATGGAAGGAAATACTCGTAATGAGACAACGGATATCCATGTTATATGTTGCGAATCGTTAACTCAGTTTATGATCATTTTGCAGTCGTCTTATAGTTTCCTACAAAACGCACTCAAATCCACACAGTTGTCTACGTATGCGGCATTCAACAGGATCGTAAGTGAAACTTTTTTTTTTGAGAACTCTCATTGAATGTAGTTTGATCTACAACGAGATAAACACAAGTGCAACTGTCATGAAAAATTCTTAATTCCATCATCATCTTTCCCTATCTTTGAACCTCATCCAATTGTTCAACCACTCTCCTTTGTTCTGAAAAATTTTTTCTCTCCCACGTTTTTCAGAGTATGTGAACATATGAGGAATATTAAAAGATTGTTGTATCTGAATAATAGAATTGTTCCTCAACAGGGATTTAGGAAAAAATAAAGTGATTATATAATATAAATGACATTTTTATCTAATTTTTCAAGAAAAAAAGAAAGATTGTTAAGAGATATACTATATCCGACCCCATTTTGATTATCCTAACAACAGTTGTTCCTCTTAATCCTTCGCACGACTGACTTTTGTCTTCGCCGAGTAGACCTGCCCCCTGTTACTTTCAAATCTCCAATCGGATTTCATTATAATTTTTAAATTTTTGAGAGAAAAAGTGAAAAGAAAACTAATCAAGTTTTAATATTCCAATCCACCTCGACCTTAACCTTCTATTGCCGAGCTTCTCGAGTTTCAAACCCATTAGTGACCAATTGTTGATTCCCTGTTACATTTACTGAGCTTATTGTTTATTTCAGGAATTATTACTTTTTCTGAATTATTGTTGATTATAGATGATCATATTTGTCGCCGTGTAACATCTAAAGATTTCAATGGGGTTGAGCTGTACGGCTAGAGCCTTAAAGTTTTCTTTGTTCATTTTTAATTTGGTTTTTCTCGTAAGTTTTTATTATGTGTACAAACAAGATAACATATTAAATCATACAGGTTTGTGGCCTCGTCTGTGTAGGAATCGGCTGCTGGCTAATTTTTGATAAGTACGCCATCGATAATCTTTCGTTTGCAACTGCTCAAGTACGCGGATATGAAGAGAATGCTGGACTACGAGATTTGGTAGAATAAAAAAATAATTCAAAGTTTATTTTATGTTTTTAGGCAACCAAGCCAACAGCCGTCCGCCAAATCGGATACCTCCTTGTTGCTGGAGGCTTGACGGTCATTTTTGTGGCCTTTCTCGGATGTTGTGGTTCAGCCAAAGAATGGCGGCCATTGCTTTGCTGTGTCAGTTTACGTTTCCATTAAGTCAACATCAAAAACCACCTGAAATATTAATTCTACCTGCTTGATGCTCAAGTTTTTTGATGCTCACTGATCACTCATCTGATTGACTATCAGTCAATCAATCAGAGACATCTATCTTTAGGTGAGAGGGCGAGGGTGACTTAGGACGGAGGAATAAGAAGAATAATAATAATAAGAAAATTGAAGAAGAGAGATAGTAAATGGTTCAGAGAGAAAAGAGAAAACGAAGAAGAGTGAGGAAGAAGGAATGCTTTTGAGAGATTTTCTTTCCGGGCCTTTAAACTATTCTCAAAATGATTTACGATATTCAGAGACGCTGCTGACATATATGTTGATAAACAACTTGTAAAGAGTTTCAAATAGATGTTTTGCTGAGCATTTTTGAAATATCTAAGAGAACGTTTTTTGAAATTCATCAAAAGTTCAAGTGGGATGTAGGTCAAGCTCAATAGTTCATTTACTCACATAAAAGCTTGTACTTGGCATGACAGATTGCTATTGAGCAAACAGTTGAAATTTAATTCGTATTGAACTTTCCTGAAGCATTGAATAACTTTCTCTACAAGCTCTCTGATGTTGAGAAATTTGATGATTAAACAACTTTCATTTCAGTACGCTACATGTCTAATGATCATTCTGGCGACGGAAATAGCAGCAGCTATTTATGCAGCAATGCATAGTAATATGGTTAGTGGAGAGGAAATGTTTTTAAAATGACTATCTAAACAACGTATCATGACGATAGTGATTCATATAGAAAAATAATATCAAAATGCAAATCTGTATTCAAGTCATAGCTAATTAGCATAACTGTTCGAACTCATTTATCAAACATTAAATCCACGTTACTTTTTTTCATTTCATAAGTATACGAGTAAGAAGCGGTTGCATTCATAAAAACAAAAGAGAAATCTTCTTCTTCATTTTCTGTTTTTTTCAGTTCGAAAACGATTTTCGTCAAATTCTTCGAGCGTCTTTGAGGATGTACAACGGAACAGATAGCACAAGGCAAAAGGGTGATAGTATATTAGTGAAAACAGCATGGGACAAACTTATGCAGGAAGTAAGTGTAGTATTTGCTTCAAGAAATGTTTTTTGTTAACAAAATCTCTTTGAAGAAAGCCTGTTGTGGTGTAGACTCAAAAAGAGGAGAGTTTAATGAATCGGGATGGTTTTTGTTAACAAAAGGACGATTTGATTTTCCGCCAGCATGTTGTCCACCTTTGAATGGTCGATTACAACGTCCATGTCATATGATTTCCCGCTATCCTGAAGTAAGTTTGATAATTGTTTCGTTATTAAAGCTAGCCTGATCGTCTGACTGTCTTGTGGCTTATGATGATGTTGTATTGGTGATGTTTAGGGCTGTTATGAGAAAATAGCAGAATCGTTCCAAGAGCTTGCTTTTCACTTTAAGATTGTAGCATGGACTGTTGTTTTTATTGCATTAATTCAGGTATTCAGATAATTCTCTTGTTAGGTTAAACAATGATATGAATCCAGGTTTTCGGAATAATTGTTGGATTTTGGTTATGCGATTCAATTACAACAGAAGATGAATATTTTTGATGCAGCTTATAGAGTATTCATATAAGCAACTCCTTTCATGAATCTACATATTGCTTTAATGCTTTTGTATACGAATCTCTTGTAATTATGCATGTTAGATGTTCTATTTACTAAATAGAAAGATGATTAGAAGAGAAATAATGTTTTCAAGGGATGTATTGAACGTGTGTATCCTCAATTGAACAAATCCACAACTGCAGTTATTCTGATTCTGATTATTCTGGCGATAGCCGAGGTTTGCATTCAATCACAAGCTCTCAACACCTTTTTCATTTTCAGCTCATTGGCATCGTTTACGGAATACGACTGTACAATCGTATAGAAGAAGATCGAATTAACTATTATTGATCTTCTGTAGTTGTCATTGTCAAAGAAAAAAAATTAAAAATCCATAAATTCATATACAAATCCTGCTTTCATCATTGTTCAACATTTCTATTTTTGAATAAATGGATAGAAGTTGTTAATGTTGACGCGCCTCACAAAAAAAACAAGAATTTTCGAGGAAAAAAGTTGCTAAATTACAAAGGTCAAGGTGGTAAATGGCTTTATCTTTCTAGATCCGATCGATAGGTGTGGAAGATGCTACTCCTCCCCTCGAAGCTCGAGGTCATTTTCCGATTACAACTCTATCAAAACCTACAGTTACACGCACGGTTCTGTGGTTGTAATCACGCAGCCTCACCAATCTCTTCATACTTGTGCTTTTCTTCAGTTATCGAAAGACAATTTCTCTCGATTATTCTCTTTTTCGTTCTCATGTTCCTAATCAACCTCTTTCTTTTATCTTTAAATCATTGATTACATACTTTTGTTCCTTACCTTGATAGTTTGCAATTCTAAGTTTCTCTTCAAAAGAACTTATGTCATGTGAAAGAGAAATTGGAGGAATGCTCAATACTGTACTATATACAATGCTTTAGTCTATAGCCAACTACTTGTTGTATCTTTGCCGCCACACATCTGAGCGGAACTCAGAGTCTGAACTCATGTTACGTACAGTTGTTTTTGTATTTTAAACAATTTCTAATTGAATCGATAATCCTTTTTGTTCTTAAACCAAGAAAAGGTCAATCAGCTAAAACATGTGTTGAGATAGAGAGAGATATTCTAAGAGAGTTAGAATGAAAAAGAAACAGAGAGAAGCCTTCTGCTGTACACATTTCAATCTAAACTCACTTTCTTAAGAGAATATGACCAAAAACTTTGGTGGCCATCTTTATCTCGTCGCATCTTTTACTTTCCTGACTGCTTTTTGTGATTGTCTTCTTCTTGTTCACACTCACTAAAGAAAAGCCACGTCTACTAGTGGCGTTTTCTTTTGTAATTGGTTAAAAAGGATAGCACGAACTGCTTGTTGGTCCCTATCTTCATCATCCCACCTATCCGAAGACGGCCCATATTCTTTCCATACATCTATTTAACCAGTTTGCCCGTGACCTAGAGGTTGACGATCGTCGCACAGAAGACCTGAAAAATCTTCCTAGTCTTTTTGGTGATGTTGGTAGAGAAGGTTGCATGTTCTCCTTCTATCTTCTTCATTTGCTTCTTTCAGTTTAATTGTCAACCATAATTCCTATTTATTCCAACTCAGTGTTTCTAGCGGATCCACTGTCCATTTCGCTTCCCACCCTCTCTCAAATAAACAAACTAAGTTCCATTAACTGCACTATTTATAATAATACTTAGTACATATTCTGAATTCTGAACATCTTCTTATGTTCTGGACCTTTTTCTTTTTTTCCAAACCATAACTAGAATGTCATCGTGGTTGAATCTCTAAATTGACAACGCTCCTCGTCATCCCGTTAAAATCTCAAGTAAAACTAGAACCAAACAAAAAGCCAAAATTCTTTGGTCCACTTCAAGAATAAACTTGATCATTGCAATAAAAATTGTCGTTCTTTTATTGTTTCCTTCTCCTTCGACTTATACTCATTTCACTATTTCTGTTATCTTTCAGGTAATGATCAAAATAATCTGCATCTTGGCTTTAGCCGCCCTCATCTATGCTGATGAAGAGCAGAAACTCAGCTGGAAGGTATAACTGTTTTTTTTTTGCTTGTCATCAAAACGATAAATTTTAAAGGATGAGGATGGTCTTGAAATCAAAATCATCAAGCCAATCAAGGCTGAGAAATGTAAAATCAAATCTGAAGCCGGTGATGTAGTTGACCAATTCTACAAGTTGTCTGACAAAGACGGAAAAGAAATCGGATCTAACTTTGGAAAGAAACCGTAAGTTTTGACTAAAACTGAAAAGAATCTCATTTACCCAATGTTGTAGTTACACTTTCACTTTGGGAAGAAATCAAGTTATCCCTGGTATGGACAGAGCTATGACTGGCATGTGCATTGGAGAGAAGAGAAAGGTTGTCATCCCAGCTGCTCTTGGATTTGGAGATAAGGGAAGAGAAAGGTTTACTTGTATATACCAATGCACATTCTTATCCTAATATTCTCTCAGAGATGCTATCGAGGGAGATCAAGTTCTTTACTACACTGTTCAATTGGTTGATCTTTTCCGTTCTGTACCAGGAAAGACCTGGACTACTGAAGAAGGAATCATCATCGAGGTAGATAAAACAGAACAGAACGTTTGAAATACGTTTTGTTTCAGCAAACTCACATCATCGAAGACGATAAGTGCCGTAAATCCCAATCCGGAGATACCATCCACCAACAATACACACTTTACCTTGAGGATGGAACCTTTGTCGACTCTTCCTTCTCCAGAAATGCTCCATTCATTTTCAAATTGAACAATGGGGTAATACATGAGAATCATCTTCATAATTTATTAATTTTGTTTTTTTAGCAAGTCATCAAGGGAATGGATATTGCCATGACTGATATGTGTGAAGGAGAGAAGAGAAAAGTTACAATCCCATCTGATTACGGTTATGGAGATGAAGGACGTCTTCCACAAATCCCAGGAAAAGCCACTCTTCATTTCAACATCACTCTAGAGAAACTCATCAAGAAAGATGAACTTTAATTTATTTTGAATTAACAATTGGAAATTCTGAATGACATAATCTCATCTAATATCATCCATCAGTCAATACTTATCTATTGCATTACGTCTTTCCACAAAAGCGCCATAAACTACAAAAAAAAAAGAATAGAAAAGTCGAAGATGAAATTTGTTGCTGAATACATATCAATGACGTTGTTAATGATTGTTATTTAATAATGGAAATTTAATGAATTCTTTGAATATATTTATTTGTTTTCAATCGACATGTATCTCAATGATAATCTTATTCGAAATGCTCAATTCCGTAACAAGCTCATCACGTGCTATCTTATGAACTTCTTTATCTTCTTCATGAGATCCCTAAAATCGACATTCTTGCGAAATAAGAAAGACTGTCTGACTAGAATTTCCGTATTCCATGTTAGATAGATGCATTTCTTTCTGGGAATACCAAAAAGTTCCGCTAATTTTAACAGAAGTTGACCTAAAAATGTTTTTTTTCTTTTTTTTTCTCATCTGTTTCCATCTATCATACCGTACGTCAACTCCGAACAGTCGACTGTTTTCACAATATTTTTGAACTCGAATTTCAAAATGTCTACAGTGGATGATTCAGCCTTAAAACAACAACAACAAAGCAACATATAAATTTAATTATGCATTTATGGTATACCGAAGAGTTGGCGGATATGAACGAATCACTGGATTGAGTTGATATGGTAGAAACATTCAACTTTTGACATTTGGCATGTTTCTCTTGAAAGAAAGGGATTAGAGCACGTTTATCTCACTTTACCTTTATCTTCGTTCACAGCACAATTAGCACAGAATACATGATGGCAATCTTTGTATTCTATTAGATTGGAGATGTTTGTTAGTTTTCCACATGGCCCATCACAACATTCCATTTCTGGTATCCCATCATCATTCTTATCACACAAAATAATAATTTCTTTCATATTTTGCACACATCACCAACCTCATCTATTGTTTTATCATTTGTATCGTAACTATCAAAGCTTCTAAATAATAATAATAATAATTTCGTTTTATTTCGAGCTTTCTGAGTACCTTATCGTACTATCCATTCCACTGTCTCAATCACTTCACCGATTTCGTAATTTGGAAATAAACATAATGCATTACGTCACGTCATATACGTGAAAAGTACGTGGAATATACGTGAACATCTCCAATGAATCATTTTTCGAAATTTAAACGCATGAATAAGACGCTTCCAATATTAAAATATATTCTTTATTAAAACTTTTTATTAATGTTAAAAAGAGATATTATGATATGTAGAGTATGAGGCAGTTTAAATGTTTTTCTTTCTAATTGGCTTTGCAGTAACCGTCTTTTTATCTTCTTTTTCTGATTGTAAACCAGCTTTTGAGAAGATCCTCCCGAAAATATGCATAACGAGTGGAAACATGAAATCAGCGTAGATCATCAAGCAAGCGAAACCAATTACCATAATGAAAATTGCCTAGAAATACTCATAGGAGGTCATAAGACAGGAATTAACTTACTTGGAAAAGATAGATAGGAACATACATAATGGAGGTTATACTATCAGTACTGGGAAATATAGATTTGAAGTAAGTCAGCATAGCAAAACCTGGCATGACGGCAGAGGCTACAGTGAAGAGAAGAAGAAAGATCGTCTTCCAAACCATTTTATCTTAAAGCAATGTGAATAAAGAAAACCAAAAGTGAAGAAGCTTATTCATAGGAAACTAATCAATAATGAGTGGATGTGTTCGAAAATAGTTTTCGAAATAGAAAAAAAAATATATGAAGAACACGATGATAATGACGATGGATGTACAAACTACAGATAAGATCAAGGCCTCATCACAGAAATAGAACTTATAACTATACGTCTCTCTTCTATCATTATATATAACTATATGTGGTAAAGATAGATGTAAAAATAATTTTTTATTATCATAATATATAAATGACAGCTTTTCTTATGATAATTACTTAAATTATATATGACCAAAAATGGCAAAGACGAAAAAAGAATGAGAAAAATGGCGAATGAAGGGTAAAAGATCATATAAAAAGGAAAATCTTTCAGGACGATATCGTCAAGATAATAAACTAGTTGACTTTCATTTGGCATTTTCTGATTTGTTTTTGAGTTGTTTGGCTGTTACCTTTTAGGAGGAAAAAAGACTTGTTCTAAAACATTTCCTTTAATGGAGAAGAACTTTCGGTGAAGAAATACTTGACGAGAGATAATAATATAACATTAAAGGAGGAAGAGAGCAAACAAGCGAGGAACGACGAAAGTTTTCTAATCTCTTGATAACCTGAAAGGTATTTAACCTAAGATCCAAAGATCATATATTTTCAATGCAAATCAAGCTTAGTTACATGAAAAATTTTTTTTCCTCTTTCTACTCCATTTTAGAGTTTTAGTATCTTTACCGAATAACGCGAAAATGGCAGTTTCATTGGTTCGTACAATTAATTTTCTTAATTCATTGACTCTTCATTGAATTACATTTGTTCATGTAGTCCAAATGTGGGTTTGTCCATACATTACCATGGAAACCTTTTTTTTTATCTTTCTCTCTCTCTCTATCCCTCCCTCTCTCTATAGCATCACAACCTTCCCCCCTCTATCTCGCTCTTCTATTGTCTCAAATCTCTCCAAAGCCCAGCATTTCTGAGCTGTCAGATTTATCAGTCACAATTGTTTAGTTAGTTATATGCTATAATCTTTGGAAAACACATAATCTCCTGAATCTTTCAGCCAATCTCATCCGTTTTTTTTTCCATTTTTAAGGATTTTTAAATGTATTTTTTAATTTTCTATCTAATTCTGGAGACACAAGCCATATCATCTTTGTGAGTTTTCATTTAAACCTCTCATAATCACAGAAAAAAATGAACTTTCAGTACTTTAGTCTCAGATTCTGATAATGTGACGGATCGAGTTATCTGCTTCTATGAACTGAGAGAAATACAAAAATTAAAAGAAAGCAAGGTATTTTCAGAATATTTTGCTATTATAATAACATCGCTTATGAAATTAGGAATATAATTTTCTGGAGAATGTCTATAGCGGAAATATAACATATACCTGCGATATTCAAAGCGTTTGTTGTGGAATCAACTGCTGTCCACGTAGTAATAGGTATGTTTCATCCATTTCATATTTCTCCTAACAATTTTTAACTCCAGTATTTATGCGTTTATTTTCTTTTTAATATTATTTTTTGTTGGAGTAGCTATATTCTATATATGTCATGCAAGAAAAACACCTATGTATCGTCAGTTTTACTATTATATTCAACGGGTAATCACATATCTCTTATATCTATTAAGTCATCTCATGATTTATCCATTTGCAGAAAATGAAAACGGCTGCAGCAACATATGAAGCTGAAATTTGATGATAATGCCTATAGGTTCGTTGTTTTCAAAAAATAAAATAACCTTTTTTTTTATCATTCTTTCATTCATTGTTAAAATGATCCATTTGTTAAAATATTATTTAGTTCTCTGAATGTTGTTTTTGTATTTTGTGTCTTTGATAAAGGTAGAAACTTCAATGTACTTCATATGTTATCATCTTTGACCTCCAACTTGAGAATTCGAAAATTTGTTAAAAAATAAGAAAGAAATAGATAGATAATTAGAGAGTACGAAAATGGAATGCAACCGTTTGCTTGCAGAGTAACATTCGAAAATGCACCAAATCCACGTTACGTGAGAAATGACGTGTTTAGATGATCAAACATGCTAATGAAGCCTGTAGATGAATCCGGACGGTCTTTATGAACTTTAATAGTTTCAGTACATTATTAATAATAACTATTATATTTAAAGGAATAAACTATAAAATGGGAGGGAGAAAACTAAAATGTAAAAGATATAAAAAGGTGTGTTTGAGTCATAAAAATGAGTTTTAATCATAAGAAAGTAAGGTGGATTCTGACTATAATCATTTCATCTCTTCCGTATAGATCATTCGTTCAATCATTTACTATTAATTTATTTATTTTTCTATTTTTTCTATAATATTTATTAAAAAAAATTATATTATTTAAATCCAATTCAAATAAAGGTTGGAATAAAATATCATTGTAAGTCAGCATTATTTGAAGATAAGATAAGGTTCACAACGCTACAACAACTATGCAGGACGAAAATTCTTCCTTAATTGTCAAAAAGTAAGTTCCTTAATTGAATATGTTCATTTGTATGTTTGTATAACGTCATGTTTCCTTCGCACTTAGTATTTCCCAGTTTTTGCTGTAATAGCCAAAGAGAAAGAAACAAAAAATTTGAATTTTTTTATTATTCTGTCTATGTTTGATGTCTGCCGCCATCTTACCCATAAATGGAAACGTTCAAGTAAGATATGTTGCTTCTTCCAGAGTAAATAGCTATGAAAGCATCACAAATCGTGATCAATTCCATTGTCACGATGAAGCTCAGGACGAACAATCGAAAATTGCTAGTAATAAGAGAGGTTTTGTAATATTTTTCTATTTTCTGATTTTTCATTTCAAAAATTCTTTCAGCTAAAAGAATTTTATGGATTTCTGTTATAATTTGTTTGTTTTTTATGGCTTGTGAGGTTGTTGGAGGATTTCTAGCCAATTCCTTGGCCATCGTCACCGATGCAGCTCATTTGGTATTTAGTATTTCTAAATTCACTATATGTACGATAACTATTTGTCTAGTTAACTGATTTTGCATCCATGCTAATCTCTTTATTTTCCCTGTATATCGCTGGTAGGAAACCGTCACAGAAAATGAGTTTCGGATTTCATAGAGCTGGTTTGTTTTGGCGATTGAAAGAAAGAGACAGAAATTCAATTTTTTTCAGAGGTTTTGGGTGCTTTCTTCTCAGTTTTTTTGATTTGGATTGTCACAGGAATTCTCGTAGTTATGGCTATTTCACGCATTTTAAATAAGGAATACGAAGTTTTTATAATTTGAAAAACAAATTGTTTTCTTCTTAAATTACAGGTTGATGCTCCAATTATGGCCGCAACAGCTGGTCTGGGAGTTCTTGTCAATCTCATGTAAACATCACTTTATTAATCTTTAAACAGTTGATTTAGTATGGGAGCTCTATTGTACTTTGGAGGACATACTCATTCACACGGAGGAGGGTCGCATTCACACGGAGGAGGATCTCATTCACATTCCGGAAAATCCGTTGAAGAATCTTCAACAGGCTAGATTTGTTTTATAACATTTAACCAAATGCCCTAAAATTTACGTGTATGGCACGTTCATGTAAAAGTGCGATCTGCTGAAGATGGCGTTTCACGTAAGAAATGAGAAGTACATTGGCTATCCAATTTTCTGATGAAGACAAACTTTATCAAAAAAAAAAATCCTTTCATAAATCTTTAAGAAAAATATTTTTTTAGAACACCATGGACAAAACATAAACGTCCGCGCTGCTTTCATTCATGTAATCGGTGATCTCATTCAGAGTATTGGAGTTCTGATAGCTGCTCTACTTATCTATTTCAATGTGAGGATGAAAAACAGCATCATGTTAAGTGAATGATTATTTTAGAACGATTGGGGTATTGTTGATCCCATTTGCACTCTACTATTCTCTGTCATCGTTCTCTGCACAACAATTTACATTTTAAGAGATGCTATGGTAGTACTCCTAGAAGGTGACTTCGATGTTCTTGTACTGATTTAAGTTGAATTGTGTATAGGCCGTCCGAGTAACATAGACTTCACTAAAGTGTTTTCCTCTCTCGAAAACGTGGAAGGTGTTCGAAAAGTTCATGATTTACGTATATGGGCTTTAACAATGGACAAAGTAAATAAAATAAAATCTGATTCGAGAATATGTGTTGTTTAAGATTGCCGTATCCGTTCATCTTGAGGTGGAAGAGCCAAGTTCTTATCAGAGCGTTCTCAAGAACACAAGAACAATGCTGTTAGCTCTTTATAACGTCCATGAATGCACCATCCAGATCGAGGACTTCACACCAGACAGGAATGATTGCGGACGATGTGATGTCCCGAAATAACTTCACATTATTAAATGACACTTTTCTTGAAACAACAAGTTGCCAGCTTGTTAATTATTGTTTTTTTGATTTTTGAAGCTTTATCGTTTTGTGTGCGAAACTAAATTGCATTTTGAACTTGAACTGAAGCGAAAAATTTGATAAAAGCAAAAATAATAAAATATTTTACAATTCGAAAGGTTGTTGGGAACAAATAGATCATTTGGTCGTTTTTTGAGCTCGAAAACGATATCAACATAACGAAAGTAGGCAATTCAATGAACACCCAAAGAATATTCAAAAAATTTTACACATTATACACTAAACTGTCTTAGATGCCAGTGATGAAAAACCTATGGCTATCACTTCATATCAACAGGGAGAAATTTTGTTTAGAGCAGTCTTTTTGCCATCGTCCACGTTTTGTCCTTTTTATACACTTTTCTACATTTATTTGTTTTCAAGAATTTAAATAAATTGTTTAAACGTGTTTGAAGCTTTCAACAGTTCTAATATACCTCTCAGGTCTTTTTCTGATTATACGTTTTACAGAAATACTAACTCAATCCTCCATGCAATGTTTTCGCCTTGTTACCATTAGCCTCGTGTTTTCTACAATATATTTCTTCTTTAGGTCAATACAATCATGATCTTGAGGGCTTTTAAATCTGCATTGAGTCGTCGGCCACTTCTTACTCAGATGGTAGCTTCAGGTAGGGAAAATGATTCAATCTGAGAATTTTAACTGTCGCAACAGGAGCTATCTCGGCTTCTGGAGATGTAGTCAGTCAATTTGTGTTTGAAAAAAGAAACATGGAAAGCTTTGACGCTTTACGAACTGGACGGTTCTTTCTTCTATCCTCATGTTTCATAGTGAGTTCACAGACAGGATCTCGTATTAATACTATTATGTCCAGGCTCCGTGTTTGAGTCGATGGTTCATTCTTTTAGAAAAGATTAGGGCTGGAAATCCAAAGCTAATTCCTTTGAAGAGACTAATAGTTGATCAGGTAGCACCTATTTTCGATTCGAACTTATTTGAAGTCTTAGACAACATTTTCCCCTCTGTTTAATGGACTTATTCTGCTGAACCTTCGATTATTAGAAGGGTTCGGACCCTCTCAGTCGTTCGAGATGATGAAGAAAGACTGGCCGACAATTTATTCTTCTAGTTTGATGGTAAGTTACCAATAAATAAGGTTGTGTAAAAGAAATATTTTGCAGGTATGGCCATTAGTTCAACTTTGTAATTTCTATCTAGTCCCTCTCAATATGAGAGTTATCGTAATTCAAATGGTTGCCTTCTTCTGGAACTCTTACTTATCCTTCAAAACCCAATCTAAGATAGAAGCGGTTGTAGCATGAGGTCTTCAAAGATGCGGAAGCCTATATTAGGTGAAAGACTGTATAAAATATTCCATTCACAGAGTTTTCTATTGTTTTCTCCCCAATTTCTGGTTGTTTTTGTTATGTACGTTCCAAATTTCTATGCTCTCGAAAATGCGATCTTCCATATTATCCCGTTTAAAATAAATTTTTGTGGTCAATTCCATGTCCATCTTATCATTCGTATGTTGTTCTAATCATTCATTATCGCCTAATATGGTCATACAATCGTTATACACATAATTTCAGATTATTATGTGTTTTTGCCATATTATATGAACGTATTCAACTGTGTTGATTGTCGTCATCTTCAACTTCGTCTCGTAACTTTTTCATCATCAAATTTGCCTTTAAGTAACTTTCTTTCCTAATAGTTCGATTCATGACACTTCGTGTCGTCAATCGATTGATACGATTCTCTGCCCATAATAGGGAGCTCCTATCCATTTACGGGAGAAAAACTACTACTCCTTCGACGTATTATCAACTGATGCAACAATTTTCTGCATCTTCATCATCTTTCGTTAAGACCACGGCAGGGATGACTTCCGATAAGGCGCCAACTACTAAATATCAGGTAGGGAATATGTTATTGTACTTATTAAGCTCAATTAATCCAGGCTGCCATCATGGGATTGAATTCTCTTCAATCAAATGCCATGACAATTCAGAAGATGAGGGAGAGTCGGGCGAGTCTACAGGAGCAAAATGTTCCACAAACAATTAATTTTCTAGTGAAATGTGGGATTTCGGTAATCCTTCATGAAAAAGTATCAGCCTCGTTTTGTAACAATTAAGATGAAAAATATCGATAATCTTCATGTGATACACGTCAGTGGCACAAAAGGAAAAGGATCAACTTGTGCGTTCGTGGAATCGATGCTCAGGAGTCTCGGCTTGAAAACAGGTTTATATACGTAGGTTTCTAATTATATAACCGGGATTGTAAGTATCTGTGTTTCCTCTACAGCTCCCCTCATCTAATCCATGCGCGAGAGCGAATCCGAATTAATTCACAGCCCATCAGTGAAGAAACATTTGCCAAGCACTTTTTCGATGTTTACGATAAACTAGTAAGTGACCACAAAAGAGCCATGAGAGCGAACATTTCATTTAACAGAGTCAGGATACAGATGTTCAAATGCCGGCTTATTTCAAGTTTCTAACATTGATGGCTTTTCATGTTTTCTTAGAAGAGAAGGTTGATGTTGCTATCATAGAAGTTGGTATTGGGGGAACCTATGATTGTACCAATGTCATTCAGTAAGAGACATCGTTGTTCCACAAAGATAATTTGTTCAAGGAATCCTGTGGCTTGTGGTATTACGACTCTTGACATCGACCATACATCAATCTTAGGTTCCACCTTACCTGAGATAGCTTGGCATAAGGTATGACAAATGAAGTGTTTAGTTTTTTTATTTTCTTCACAGGCAGGAATTTGTAAAGCTGAATCTCCCTGTTTCGTCACTCCACCTTCCCAGGAAGCAATGGAAGTAATAGAGAAGCGGGCGAATGAATTTGACGTAGTTTATATAACAAAATTCAATGTTCTAGTCTCATTTTTTAGGCGCCACTGATCAAAGCTCCTCAATTTTCTGATTACCAATGGCCCGAGAAAGGAATATCAGCCGGGATTGAAGGAGATCATCAGAAAGTAAATGTAGCATTGGCATTACAATTAGTTCGGCAATGGGTTAAGTCCCAGGGATTGGATGGTTTTTCCTCTTTTCTTATAGTATTACATAACTTCTTTCCAGATAAAGTATTTCCGGAAAATAATTCATGGAAATTTGGAGATCCTTTCATAGTTCCGGATGTGTTTGTTGAAGCTATTCAAAATTGTCGTTGGCCTGGAAGAAGTCAAATCGTGGAAACAAGTAAGATCCGGTATTATCTAGATGGAGCTCATACACCCAAGAGCATGCAGGTATTAAGTGCCATCTCGATTTTCATGTTGTTGATTGGACTTCCAGATGTGTAGTGAATGGTTCGGACAAGCGTTGAAAGATAGAAACCGTCGTCGAATTTTAGTCTTCCAATGCACAGCAGACAGAAATCCTCTAACATTGCTGTCATACCTGAATGTGAGATATTAGTTTTCGTCTCAAATTAAAGGAACAACTCAGGAACACTCGTTTGATTACGCCTTGTTCTCGCCAACAATCATCACAGTATCTCAGGATAAGTGCTCCGATATTTCGAATTTCAATCAGTCGACAAGTGATCAATTGGCTCGTAGTAACTTGTGCGCCCAAATATGGCATGACCAAGGAAATAAGGTTAGAAACTTTGGGAAACTTTGGGTTTACAAACCAAGAATTTAGGGAAGTGAAGTGTTCGATTGTGTTTCATCTCTAGTAGAATGGCTGAATGAAAAGTCAAAAGAGGATGATCTGGATGTCCTCGTAACGGGAAGTTTACATCTCGTTGGCGGAGTTCTATCTCTCATATCCTCTGAAGTCGCGTAAAATCGAATTTTACGTTTTGTTGCAAACAAAGATCTCATTTTTCGTTAGTTCACTTTCTTCCTTTATCAATATCACAAAATTATCTTTTTTTTGTGCCTTCTGTCATTTTTATATTTTTCTTTGCTTTTGTTTGCTTGTTTTGTCGAGCTGCATCATCTGAAGTTCGAACCTTACCAATCAATCGATTTATTGATTGTTAACTATGTATTTTCTTTGTTATAGTTGTTATAGAAGAGTTTAATAAAGATTTTTATAGAAAAAATGTCATCGGATGTTAATTATCATTTGACACACTGTATAGTATGTTTTTCAGCCAAATGTATCGATACGGATTGTGAGGTTACATTTGATATTTTCTCTTTCATCACACCTTCTCCAAATGTATTAAGGTTATAACATGTCCAGAGTGTCCAATGAGAATGCATACGTGCAAACTAGAAGACCATTTATCAAATATCTGCTCAAAAGTAATTTCTTTGCCAATTTCCCATGATTACCGTAATGTGATTTGCAGATAGTTTTACCTTGTATCAATTCCATTTATGGATGTAATCGAAGACTTCGAAGATATAACTTAGGACTACATTTGAAGAAATGTCCTGCTAGCTTAGTTGTTTGCTCAAGGTGATAGAGAAAAAACAAAAAAATAGAAAGAGCTTGAAAAGATAAAGATTGTGGCACTCAAAGACCAAAAGTCTTTGGATTTTTTGAACTTTTAGTTTTTGCGGGAATAATCAGTGTTAATGCTTTTTTCAGGGAATGGAACCGACAAGTTCTTTCTACCGAATCTAAGTCCGAAATGAAAAAGCTCAGCAAAAGTTATGTAGCGTTACAAGAGCTCAAAGGCGAAATGGAAAAATTAGACTTGCAATTTGCTCGATCAGACCAAGTTCTAAGCAGATTTATAGGATGAAAAGCATTTTAATGGTTATTGCATTTATAGAATTTAGTAATGGATAGTTATAAATATTCACGTGTTCATAGGAACTCTCAGCGAACAGAAATTCATCCCGCTCATCCTCTCCTTCCATTACGTAAAGTCTTCAAGAAAAGTGCTTCCCCTGTTTTCGTCATTCCTGATGATGATGCTGTAGATGATAGTAGTGACGAAGAAAACAGAGCTAAGGTAATTCAACAATCTTTTCTGTCTAAAGAAAATTCCTGAAAACTAATTATCTTTCTGATTGAACGATTTGGAAAAAAACGAGCCATGTTTGCGAATTGCTATCAATGCCAAATAGATCCATCTCGACAGCATCTACATACCTTAGGCAATCCGGACTCAAACTTTAAGGTTGTTTACGATGGAATCTAATTCTCCATATTCTCTATAATGACCTGTGCTGTAGTTCCATACGGAACACTACTGTATCCGTTCATGGGAAGTACATACATGATATGCGAATCAAGTGCTTAGACTTAAAAGAAAGTATTGCGAATTCCACTATAATATTTTTGCTTTGTAGAAGTTCAAAATGGTCAAACGATACCCAAAGAAAGTGAACGAAGTGTTGAAACAGTGCAATCTGATGGTTTGTGATGCTTTGCTGAGGATTATCGTACACCTTCATATCTTTTGCAGATTGATTCGGAGGTTGAATGTATTCCAGAAATCCCAAAGGGTGAAAACATCCGAAAAATTGCCAACGGCGGAACAATCTACACCCGACGGTATGCAGCTATTGATCATCTTCGTTTCAATCTTATTGTTCAGATGCTTACGGGTATTCCGAAGAGATGAGTACGCTGATCATCAACGATCCCAAGTAAAATTCTCTGTTCTAAGTATTTTTTTTATCTTATTATAGCATGAAAACACTTTAAATAGTTTATCGGAGCTAGTTGTACGATGTCCGAATTGGTCTAGAGGATGCACTTTCACTTGTTCTCGTTTAAAGCCTAAAAAGGGGAAAATAAGGTTAACTCTTATTAAGACACTCCTCTGAATACACTTTCCCACCAGGTTCTCTAATTATTTGGATGCGTTTGTGAGCACTTCGGATACAGTACTCCATCCAACAACTCCTGCCTTGCATCACCTGATGAATGCATTGCCTACAGTTGGTCATAAGAAAAACGAAAGATGGCTGAGGAATTACTTTACAGATTGTACAATATCTTCCGTCCAGTTCTATTCGTAGTTTATCTCAGACATGCCGGTAACCTTCAAATATTTTGTTTTTGAACATTACAAAATGCAATCTGTTCAGTTCATTTCGGGCAAATATTTTGGAGAATTGTGAGAATCGAGGAATGATCGAAGTGATATGGAAGAAGCTTGATGGTGTGGGCTGGGTAGAAGCAGGAACAGTAAATGCTTTAACAATATAACATGTACGAATGCAAAAATATTCCAGAAATGCTCATTCTCAATAGCTGATCATGCAATTGAAATGGAATGGAAGCCGGCAAATGAATTATGTGAACATTTATCGGAATGCCCGTATCGAGATACTTACACCTTCCGTAAAGAACGTGTAAATGTGCTGATTCGGGAAGTAATATTTAATTTGAAATGGTCGTCCTCATTCGTGAATTTTTTCATTTTCAGCATTTTGAGACAACTGAAAATGTTCTACAAAAATATTTTCGTGAAAGTTACGAATTAATTGCGGATGATCTGAATGCTCTGAGGCCGCCAGATTTATCATCAGAAGAGTATTAAACTGATTTTCACAAAATAGAAGATTATTCAAAAAAAAATGTATATATATATATATATATCTATGTAAATGTATTGATATACATATCTCTATCTACGCATAAACATTATTTTTTACTATTTTGTCTTGTTGGATAATCCTTTAAAGACTATACTATCGTATTCTTTTTATAAATCATGCCACATTGAATTATAATGAACAAACAACTTGAACTGCGATTGTGGAGGAGGAGAGCAATTAGAAGATTTACGCTTTATGGGATTAGTATAGTCTGAAGCATTTTACAATACATATATACACAAAAAACCTTACTTTCAGCTTCCTCTTATTAGCTCATTTCCTTTCATTTCTTTGTATTCCTTTTTTATTTAGCCTTTCTATAAGCATCTCAAATGCTTCTTCAGGCAATCAAATGTCTCACTTGACGTCAATAAGTCGCTAAGCGACTTGAAACAGTTTTTTTTTAAAAAAATAAAATATATTTTTGGAGCTTAGTCGATGTCATGCTCAAATCGAAGACGTCTGTTTTTCTTCATTTGCATATGTCACGTGTTACGTGAAGCAGATCACTTGACGTGAGTTACGTCAATTGCATCTAACTTCCTTGTAGAAGTAACCATTTCGTAAACTTATTTGAAGCTAAAGCGGTTGCATTCGTTCCAGCTCATTGCTGCGACAGCTACTAGTGCCTCTCTCTCTCTCCTATTATCCATCTTTCAATTATTTTGTCGTTTTTCTCCTCTTGAAAAAAAAGTTTTTTTCTTCTTCCTCAAAGAACGTTCCATAAGAGTCTTTACTCTGTTAAGATTAAACTACTCATTGTACACAATATTGAACAAAATAATTTTATAAATATTATTATATTGAATCATAAATATAATAATGTATATGTCCATGACAACAATATATTTTAAAATGTTTTATAAAATCGTTTAAAATGATCATGAATGATAATATGATTCTGATGTTGATAACATGATTTGCTTTATGGAAATGGTAGATAAATTTGTAATTTTTCCAACTCTTAATAGCTTCTTTTCATCCAATTCTCTTGAAAAACTTCAAACTGAAGAGAAGCTTAGCGTTTTCTTCATAAAACTACAATGGAAATACCATAAAAGATTATTATAATCTAAATAGTTTTAGAAAGCTTATTTATTTTCAGCTTCATATTCTTGTATCTTTTACAGAAGAGAGAGAGAAAGAGAGAGAGAAAGAGAGAGAGAAAAAGAGAGAGAAATAGAGAGGGAGAGAGAGAGAGAGAGAGAGAGAGAGAGAGAGAGTGGGAGAGAAAGAGAGGGAGAAAGGGAAGAAATGAAATTCTTCTGAAATATGAACAGTTAGAAGATACTAGCTACAGCTGATACTTCTTGCAAACATTTAAAGAGAGTTTCAACTTAAGCAATCATTTCTTCTAAAGGAGTTCTCGTTATTCACTTTCATGCAATCTCTCTTTAAGCATTTCTCTCTTCCAACAACAGTCTTTGATCTTTAAATTGGCTTTATGAATAGAAAACTTCTTCCTGAATACCTTTCTTATTTCATTTTCTTAGTGATTTCCTTAAAGCCATTGGAACATACGTCAACTCACACATTCTGCTGAACCTTCTTTTGCTCATGTCTACTACCCTCATTCGACTCTTCTGTAAACTAGCAGAATGGCCTTATGATATCAAAAATTGGAGAAAGCAATTCGTCAAATAAAAACATTGTTTTGCTAAACTGTTTTTTTTTGAAACATTGTTTTTTTTATATCGTGGATCACAGAACAGCTTATATGGTTAAGAATTGAGGAGCGTTCGAGGATGAGCTCTTGAATAATCTTAAATCTTATAAACTATTAAGAGAAGTATGACGATCATTATTATATTAACTTTCTCCTCCTTCTTCTTGTCCCATTTTGATAGAATAAAACTCTCTCTCTCTCTATCTCTCCATCTTATTTTGTCTCTTTATCTCTATTTCTCTTTAAATTCTAAATCTTTTGTTCTAGATAGAATTATTTCAGACTTCAGGTAAGAAGGCGGAGCTTTACGATTATCACTCTCAACGACAACTTCGCCATGAATGGTCGTCTCCAAATTAGTGAGTTTCTTTTTTATAATGTAACATTAAAGACTTTCTATCGTCTTCCTTATGTGAAGGTACAACTATGAAATAGTCATTTGTTTTATAAGTGAGGAAACTCCAAACAGCAGTTCACTATATCATATCGTCCAGTGAAAACAAAAATTTCAAAAACTTGTAGTTTCATGAAATACAATAACGATATAGCTATGCAAATTTCAATAATTTTTTTTCAGTTCTCTTCTTAACGGTATGCTGTTTATTCACAACTGTTCATTCTCTGAGAGGAGCATTGTTCCGAAGCGGAAGAAGCTATCGTTACCTTCAACTTCCACAAGTTGAAAGCCAAGAAAACGTTGATAAGCGTTCCGTAAGCCTCTTATTCACTTCCTCATTCAGTAACAATTGAGATGAAAAAAGATTTCTCTTTTTGCAAATTTAAAAAAACCAATGAGAAGCTTGCAAATGGGAAATAACGTATTTCCTAAGCTTTTCACTTTTGCTTCGTAACCGTCAGGAATTGGCCATTTCCATGTGATACGATTGAGCCTTCCGTTGATTCATTAAGAAACTCTCTAAATGACATATTATAGAGAAGTCTTATGAAGTTAACGAAAGATTTTATTTAATTTGTCCGATCAAACTCAGTTATCACAAAATCTTTAATGAAATTCTAAAGTAATTGGTGACATGTCATTCGGTCCCAAGAATACTGAATTAAAAAAAAATTCTGAAAAGTCAAAAGGAATCCAATCAGAATTGCGTGGGATTATTGGTTTACTTTAAATTTTTTTTGTTCTGTCCAAGTTGATTGACTATCACAGTTTGTGTGTGTTTTCTGAAAATTCAGCTGATCAGCTATCCATCTGCAAGAGTGCTCAGCAGATTGAGTAAAAGAAACTGCTGTTGTATGAGAGTTGTTTAGTAAGTTATCTCCTCAATATATTCATAGAATATCAAGAATATCAAATATGATCATACATCTAACAGTTTATATTTTCAGAACATCATCTTGTCTCCTTATGGGAATAACGGCGCTCAACATCCACTGATGCGAAATTACTTCTACGATCTTCTTAACAATCCAAGAAATAACAAGTGAATAAACATTACATTCTCATCTAAATAGAGAAAGAGAGATATTCATGAAGATTTGTATTCATTTTCAAGCTTTCACAAATAAGCTTTTCACATTTCTGTCTTCACAACTTTGATGAACCTTATACTAATTTCAATAAATACTGTCCATAGTTAATCTTTATCTCCGTATACGTATATGTACATGAGTGATGCACACAATCTGTTTCACCACACACACACTCACATGCTTACATCCATGCAAGTAATACAGATCACAACTCAGACATCTCTCTGAAATCTTCCAGTTCTAGTTTGTTCGTTCCGTATGATGTTAAAATATCCAAAAATGGCAATATTTTCAGAAAGATATTAAAGAAAAACACTTTCATCCAAACACTCTTTGATCCTCTTTTTAGATTATATTTTGTTTTTTTTTGTAAGAAGCCTCAAAGTGAGTAGAATTAGAAAAAAAAGAATATATAGTACAAGAAACAAGAAATCAAGAGAAGCAAAAGAGAGGAAGCGAAAAGAAATTTTTTTATTATTTTCCATACAAACAGTTCATATTGGGATTTGTAGTTTGGTTTGTGGCGAACAAATGATCAGCGTGATGAGCTAATGCCGACACCACTTGCAGTGTTTCTTACTTGGAAAACGGAGTTCTCAGATGGCTTTGTTGTTCGTAGTTGACTTCGAACATCTCTGCAAGTTTATATTATTAAAGTAGAACAGATAATATTAAATGTCACATACTGATTGACAAGTATCATCATCCATGGATTAATGAATGTCAGGAATCCCACCCATAAAGGTAAGAATGATCGCATCGCTATTATACTTGATGTTGCCTGAAACTTTTTTATAGTTGAAAACCAGTCAAAACCAAACATCTGATGATTTAAGTCAAATATCAAATTTTCACATAATCGCGATTCGAAATTCGTTTCATATTTGCATAGAACAGCAGTTCACGTGTGTATGTGTGTATCACGTCAAATAAGCTCATTTTCACATTCACAGATTGCAGCGAACGGTTGTTTTTTTAGAACAAAAGAAAAATGTGTTTCACATTGGCGTATTAATGGGTTTTCTCAGAAAATTATTTCCAAATATATATTCTTCTCAGACCTACCCCTATATGCACGAATAATGTTTGAAGAACAAAGTGAGTTGTTATAAACAGTAGCCCTAACTGTAAGCCAATGACTTGTAAGCAAAGTTTGATTTCTCGTCGAGTCCTAAACATATGATTAAGCTGATTTTAGAAGATACGAAACTATATTTCTTACTTTTTAGCATTGTGAAAGCGGTTTTGACGAAAAGTATATATGATGCATCCATAGCAGATACAGCAAATGATCATTGCCAATAGAGGTACAATGGCTGATCGTATGTAATGCATCTGAAATTTAACATTTACAAATAATCTCAACGAAAAAGGAAAAAGTAATTAATATGAATATTACATCTAAATCTTTCTCAGCTATGTTGTGACTAAGAACAATCGGATCACTGAATTCCATTCGTACTAAGAACATTGGAAGACATAGTGGAATTGGTATTATCCATTGGATAACAAAAAATGACCACCAAGGAAGTTGTCGAAGATACTGAAAATATAGAAACAATCATTGAAGTACATATAAAGTATTGAAAAACAGAATAAATAACTATATACAAGTATAGTATAACATACATAGTTAAATATTGAACTTGGAAAGGAAACTGTTAGACAACGTTGAACAGAAATCAGTATAATTCCAATTATGCGAGCATAGAGAAAGAAATATGTTTGCATGTATGTATATTGTACAAATATTGTATTATTAAGTGACCAAAAAAATGGTTTGAATATATCAAATCCGCGCATGTTGAAAGCTGTGTAGTAGCAGAAGAAACCAATTATATCAATCAATGCCTGCAAATACATATATATGTAAATTAATAATAATTAAAAAAATAATAATTATTATTATTTTCTTTCATCATTCAATTGTTTTCCAATCACACAACCGCTTACTATTGCATCCGAAGTGAGAAATGAAAGTTGACGCGCGTATCCCCACGTAATGAGAAAACAAAATTTTTTTTTTCACAATTTTCAATTTTTCACTCTTCACGTCATATGATAACTCAATTTGAATATTCTTCCTGCTTCTCCAATTCGAACTCATTAGCTCATTGTTATTGTTGATTATGAGAATTATGTAACATGTGAGAATGAGTATGAAGTACATGGCGATATGAACTAAGTTGATCATCCGGATTTTTAATTAAAAAATTTGAATTTTCTTCCTGTACATTTGTGCTTTAGTCATATACTCTCTCGTAATATTCTCACGAATTTTGAGAGCAAGAGAAATCATGATGGGTTGTATGCACATATACACACCAAGGAAGCATCTTAGAATATTAAAAAATAGAATATTCATGAAAGTAAATAAGTAAGAAATACTTGACAGAAGTACAGACCATATAGAATTCTTTGGAAATAGTCAAATCTCAGAGATTATTATTAACTAAAAATGAGACAAAAACGACTTAGAAGTCTTTGTCAAATGTCAATTGCACATTGCAATATTGAATTCATTTTTGATCTTTTGATGAACTTCCAAAATTCATGAATAGCTGAAGATGGAAGACAATATGAATGAGATTGTAAGTGTAAGAAAGGGGATTTAAGCTTAATTTTTTTTGTGAACGAAAAAAGAAAAAATTGAAAGCTTAGATGAATGACTTACATGTGATATGGAGATAGTGTAGAATTGGCTGACGAAACGTTCACGCTTTCTACTTCTTATAAGAATAACCAATATCCGAATGTAGACCGGTATTGTTACTATTGCCGCTGCTGACAGTATATAGGTTTGAATTATGCTGGACATCTTTGTTTCGAACGTATCAACGATCTTAACAGGAGCGGGAGGAACGTCACTAGAATACATACTGCTCAAACTAATTTCAATAGAATATAATTTTCAAAGAAAATTCTCAAAGCTGTCAGATACTCATGTTCCAACTGAGAAAATTGAAAGTTGCGTTGAGAAAACATAGACGAAAGACATAAAAACGGTGGAAATATGGAATATCATCTAAAACTACAGAGAGAGGACGTGAATTTTGAAATACAAAACGCATTTCTTTGGTGAGCTTGTGTGGGAAAGGAGCAAATCCTAAATCGTTCTTCAACGAGTTTTTCCTCTTTCTCATTATATACTCAGCCACTTCTCAACAATATCCTTTTCATCTATCAGTCTTCTTAACAATTTTCTGTTCCTCTTCAATGTCATACACATGTACGTCATCATCATGAGTTACAAAATAGGAATAGAATGAACAAAAAGAGGGTGTTAGAAGGTAAATTAACTATATCATGCATGTTTTGTGCAATCATCTCCAGAAGAGCTAATGATCAGTTTGTGTGTGTATGTGTGTATGTTAAGATTTGAACTAAAATAGATTATTTTCGTTTCTTCACACTCATATTCATCTTTTCTCGTTATCATATTCACTCTTAACACTCTATACATTCTCTCTCTCTCTCTCTCTCTCTCTAGCTATCTACAATCCATATATGGCTATGATGTCATAGAAAGAAACGTGCAACGAATTGGTTAGAATATTGAGAACAATAAAACATCTCCATCACATTTGCTTAAATCATATTATGGATACATAAGAGAAGGTGAAGCAGAGCTACTGTTACATACGTGAAAAGGAAAAGTCTTATAAAAAATATTATAATTAATTGTATTTTTCTCTTATTCAATATCATTCATTTGGACAATATAATAATAAATACAAAAAATAATGCAAAAGGACGTTGGTGAGTTCAGTACGCACATAGACATACACCGACGACATTCAGCTACATAGAGCCACCAGTAGATATGAGCACACAAGTTTTTGCAAGCTGAAATGAAAGGATGAATGTTTAAGAAAAAAATGAATAAAAAGAAAACGAAAATTTCTTTTAACTTGATTATGAAGATATTTGGAAGCAAAATAAGATGAATTCATCTTTCATTTGTTTTTAAATTTTCTCTCCTATTCATAGATTCTCATGCGAATTTTAATTAATTCATGAGATTTCAATGAGATGACTAAGTGTTCCTTAAAATTTTTGGTCCAAAAATTCATTTTCTTCATCGTTATTACCATATAGTCACATTGCTTTCATTCATTCATTTTCTTCCTCTCCCCCTCACAACCCTTACTCTCTTTATTCATTCAGACGGACATGCTGCTTTTATAATTATACAAATGCTTTTGTATTGTTTGATGTCAGAGATGTATATAAATAACCAGCTTAATATTAAAATATATAAATATATCATCTTGTTCATATCATCACAGTAAGTAACTCTTCAGTTGTCATGATTCAAATTATTTATTGTTCCATATAGCTTTCGTCTTGTTTGTTTTTCTATATTCTTATTTGCATTTTATTTCATTAAAATGAATAAATTTTTCATTTTTGCACAATTGAAAATCCTTATTTTCCAGCTCTCTCCTATCTCTCTCTCTCCCTCTCTCTCTCTCTCTCTCTGTCCTTTTCCCTTGTATTACTGGTACAGAGAGATGAAGAGAGAGAGAGAGACAGAAAAAAATCTGTGGAATGAGCAAAAGCAAAAAAGATCTATTAACTATCCATACATGGATAGTAGCAAGAAAAGAGAATGAAGCAATGGAAAGCAATATCATTGAATGCGACCGCTCTGTCGAGAGAACAAGAAGATACATTAAGTTAAAAAAAAACAAGCTGAAACGATGTTTACGTGATCATCACGTGGTGGGAATTATATGCTAATTAGGTGATTAAACAACAAGCTAAATGATGTTGCAACGATGAAAATTCGTTTTTTTTTTTCTTAATTTCTTTTTTTTTTGAGGACGACGAGAAAGAAACGAAAATTAAATGATTGAATGATTGTAACAGAAAAAATAAAATTGCAAACACAGACATACACAGACACAGACACAGATACTACCATCTGAAAGCAAAGGATAAAGGTGGAGGTTATATTTAAAAATATTTTCATTTAGTTCAACAAAAAAAGAAAAGAAGATAAAGGATAATTTGTGTTTTTGTATTTGCTACATGTAAAAGCTAAATTATGTAAATAATATTCTTTCAAAACAACGAAATTTCAGATTTAACACTTGCAAATATCCTCTTTTACCGTATTTTTCTCTCTTTTTATCCTTGAGAGAGAGATAGATAGATAGATAACGAGATAGAAGAAGAACAAGCTAGAGCAACACTTAAGATGGTAAGAGAGAGAAAGAGAAAGATATGGAGAGAGAGAGAGATTGAGGAATGATGTTTTAAATGTTTTCAAAATTTCTTTTTTTAATATTCATTTTTTAAAAGATAGCCTTCAAAGACTATATTTTACAAAGGAAATACAAAGATAGAACACTACGAATCATCATTATGCTCTATGGTTACTGTCTGATCATGACATTTGAAGGTAATGTCAACTTCACTTTTACCCACCCCCACCTCTCCTTCATCTTCAGTCGAGTATATTCTTAATTCTTCTGATGATCCTCCACCCCTCTACCAAACATTTTCTCAATTAAATTGGTCTTCGATCACAAAATTAACATTTTGAACTTGAAATTTGAAAATTTCCTTATTTTTTCAATTAAAAAATATTAGAATGTATGTACTTTTAGGGATCGAATTGTATGCATAAGAAGCTCCTAATATTCCAAGTGGTTTTTTTCAAATACCACAAGATGCTTTCATTAGCTTTCATTAAAATATTCAAATATGAATGTCTAAGAAGGAATGTTCAACATAGTACAATACCGTAAGCTTATAAGTAAAATGAGAAATGCTTCGACAGGTGATATTTGAACAACTTTGTGCAGTCAAAATTTTCAGTCAGTCGAATTGTAACGAGACAAGCTTGAGCTCAACAATCTTTATCTCCATAAATGTATAGTCCCGAAGATATTTCATTTCGTCTTGTGCGGTTTATTTTGTGATTTGTCGGAGGCGTTTTACCTTATATGTACATTCAATCATTCACTTCTCGTATTCAACTAAATTTGTTTTCAATCATAAATTATGCCATAAATTATGAAGGTTATAAAAAAAATAGTTATAAAGTTCTTATCTCCAAGCTAATTTTCTTTTGTTAAATGTTTAAGCTTAACCAACTCAATGAGCATTCAAAGTAAATTGGACGATAATGATCATGATGATGCTGGTTGAACATTAACTTAAGACTACTTTTACCTAAATAAGGCAATTTCAAGATATAAACGGAGTTAATTACTCAATTACTCCTAGTTTCCAATCTTTTAAAGCGTTTTTTTTGTTTCTTCCTCTGATCTCCAATGAAACATCTAAGCTTTGAGTTCATCATTTTAAAAAGCTCTTCTTCAAATGCCTTTTTTAGGCTTTTTTTTCTCCAGAAAATTTTGGAATCGCGCACGTACAGAGATGTCCAAACCATATGTGGCTAGAAGACGTGAGTATATCCCCAATCACTGCCTACGCCACCCACATCGGCGACTCCGACAACGACGACCAGAAGCATGATGTCTGTGAGGTCACAATCAGATTTCTTGTCATTCCCTCCCACACTAATTTTCTTTTTCCCCACTCTCTCTCTCTCTCTATCTTACTTGCTTTACTGCGTTTGTCATCAAGTCACTCATCATTTTCTGGTAATGTTCCTTAGCCTTCCAATAACGGAACAATGACATAAAAATAGATTTTTCGACGTAACGGTGATGTCTATTTATGGTCATATAAGTCATTAAAGCTTTAAAGTAGGGTAAAGCCTTAGTGATTGGTATTCGAAGCATGTCCATATCGAGTCAAAATTTTAATTCAGAATTCGCCTTTCGCGTCGGAAAACTTTCAACATCATCTCAAAGATCATTCTCGTCGTAGAACATGTAAATTGAAAGAGGTAAAAGAGAGAGGAAGAAGCCAACTTTGGTAAAGAGGGAAAATTGAATATTAGAGAGAGAGAGAGAAACAGATGGAGAAGAAAGTGAAAGGAAATTGGAGAGTAAGGGAACCACATTTTTGACAGAAGCTGTAACTTCAACAGAGAAAGATCACTTAAGGAAGGCTGATAGAGAAGGAGGTAGTGAGCATTTAAAGATTTTTTTCTTCCTCCCTCTAACTCTCTCTCTCCCTCTCTGTTGTTTTCCAAAGTTAATCTATAACAAACCAGTCAATTATCCATTTTCTATCTTTCCTTAACGAATTTCTCTCAAACACATTGTCCTTTTCATTTCCTGCTTGTTTCAGAATGAAAAAAAACTTAATTTTAAGCTCAATGATCGTCTCAAAACCTCCAAGATGAAAATACCGAATGAAATGTTAATTGACTTAGGCTTTGTACTCATTTTCTGCCATAAAAGGACAGCAGAAGGCTAGTCTGACATAAAAACAGATGTGATTTCCAGTTAAGCAGCTTCTGAGACATATCACCTGAAAGATCATTCACAATTCCTTCGTCTTAAAAAATTGTTTTTTTACACATTTCAAATATAATCATTTTATAATATATAGTATATCTGATTGAATGTTACATTATTTAACACATTTTTATATATTTTTTAGCAAATTATTCATGTTCTTATGTGAATAGCATTGTTTCCAACAGCTACGTACATGAGAGAATATACCTTTTGGAGGTAATATTTCCTTCTTTCTCTTTTTATTTTCTTCATATTTTTAATTGTTACGTTTATCTAAAGATATATGTATATACTATGCTATATATATATATATATATATATATATATATTCAAGAGAATGAACAAAAGCAAACGGTTCATTCTGCTTTCAGCTTTATCCTGCTCAACGTTCACCAACCATCTCCTCTCTCATTTTTGTTCCTCTAAAAACCTTCATAACAAGGAAAGCATTTTTTGAATGTATGAGAAGAGCTTTAAACCTTCGTTCTTTATT